GACTTTTTGGGGATTTAATTTTTTTTTTTTTTTTTTTTTTGCCCCCCCCCCCCCCCCCCTCCCCCCCTTTTTTTTAGGACATGCCGTGTTGAGTTTTTACCTGCCGATCAGCTCCTTTTCTTGGCTCACAGTGGACTGATATGACATTGTAGATCCTGAAAAAGCTGAGAATAGGCATTTAAAGATGAATCTTGGTGAAATTAACGGACAGCCTGATATGTAACCTCACTCTGGATATTGGAGTCAAGACTGTAGTTATATGAAGAGCATGGAGTAAACATGGACATGAGTCAGATAGCGGTCAATGAAGACTCACCCGCTGGTTTTCTTTTTCCCTTTATGTTTTCCAAAATAATGGCAGGGAGAGACAGTTGTAAGAAATCACAGATACCGTTTGTGTTCTGTTTGAGGTATCCTGGAGAACGCCTCTTTTTATTGCTAAATCTGTATTAACACACGCATACACTCACATCAAGATTGCAATTTTCCCTCTGTGACATTTAGACGTCTTATTTATTTTGTATTGTTGCCGTCTCTAGCACTCATGACGTTCAGGTACAATCATATTTGTTAGGATTTTTGCTTCTCATCATCTTCTCTGCTTAAAGGCAGGGCATTGTTGTGTGACATTGTTGCCTTTTCAGAGTCTTTCTGTGAAAGACTGTTGCAGATTGAATTTGTTTAGGCTTTTTCTTTTCGTTTTTTACACATGATAATCTTCATGGAATTGTCACAAAATTGCTAGTACAATGAACACAGTAACAGGCATATATTAACCATCACTTTTAAAATGTATTTTATATATATAAATGTATATGTATACATATTTGGAATCTAATAGAGGGAGAATACAATTTATGTAAATGTCAGGATATATGTGCGTGTGTGTGAGTGAACTAATCTGTCATTATTTTGGTGGTGCCCTTTTTTTATACTCACTTCCTGAATGTTTTTACAGATTACAAGTGTAAAGATATTGTACAATATCAAAACAAAAGAAAAGAAAAACAAAAGACATTCTTCAAAAAGAAAAAGAATAAAAGTTTATTGATGTATTTTTCTTCCATTCTGGCTTTGCATCCTGACTTTCTTTATACTCAATACTTCTGCTGACTTTTAAAGGGGTCATATGATGCTATTTTAAAGATCATTATTTTGTGTATTTGGTGTAACAGAATATGTTGACATGCTTTAATGTTCAAAAAAAACATTATTTTTCAAATACTGTATATTATTGTGGGTCCTCAATCCCCCGCCTCTCTCAAACACGTAGTTTTCAACAAAGCCCCCTCCTTTGACAAGCGCAGTCTGCTCTGATTGGCCAGCTGACCCAGTGCATTGTGATTGGCCGAACACCACAAGCACACGTCGGAAATGTAACGCCCCTTACCATAATCGCGAGCTTCAGCTTTCAACGTAGATATAAAGATGTCGGGAAATGGCATACAAAGCTCTGTTTACGATAAAAAGGCAAGGAACTCCCGTGTTCTGTAAGAATCACATCTCGTGGTTTCCTATAGTGCTTTGCGATAGTGTCGCAATTCTGAGAAAAAAAGTCAGAATTGTGAGATAAAAAGTCGCAATAATCTTTTTTATTTTTTATTCAGTGGCGGAAACGGGCTTCCATAGGAAATGTGACAGTTCACTAGGTGAGAAAAAAAAAGTTGGCATTACTGGAGTAACACTGCTCTGTAGTGATTAATTTGACCGCTGGAGGCGCACATCGTGTTATGATTATTAACAGGCGTTACAGAATGGGCGTTCACGTGTATCATCTGTAGGGAGCAATAATGCATACTCAAAACAATAAATCCTCATTTAACGTATGTTTTTAAAGTCAAGAAGCATGAACATATTTTAAACAGAAAAGGAGTAGTGATAGCTGAATGAGTAAATTATGACAACATTCCCCTTTAAGACTTTACACAATTTATTAATTGCATTTTGAATTATTTTATGTTGTGAAATTATGTTTTTTTGTATGACTTACTGTGTACGTGCGCGCGCGCTTGTGAATGTGCTAGCTGGAGCGGGAGCGCGCCTGTATGATCTGCATGGAGAGACGCGGCGGCGGCGCGGTGACGGTCACGTGACGGAATCTGCTGCTGGCTGACTGAAGCGTGTTAGCAGGTAATACAAAAGAACAAATCTCTTTCAGACTCTCACTGGTCTTTATAAATCAAGCGTTACGTTATTAACATTTCCATTTCTTTGTCTTCCATCTGTTTTAATCCGTCGCTGAATGTTTTTCGAGGTGATGTTGTCTTTTCTATGGCTTTGTTTTGCCTCAGTTTAGCTTATTCGTCTTTAGCTCTGCTGTGAGACCGTTTTCCTCAAACATCCCTTTACAACCCGCATCACCATTAAACCAGTTTTTCGTCCATTAAAAAGGTCATATTGATACACCTTGGTGTTTAAATGCTCTTGAGGATTTTCATGTTATGAACAAGGACGCCGGGCGGTCGTGAGTTAGCCAGCTAAGCTACAACAATTGGAGAGAGGAAATGACATTAGAGATCATGGACAAAGGAGAGCAGAGACTATGCGCTTATGCTCTTCACAAACTCTGTTTTTACACATTCATAGGGTTTAAAAACACTATTTGCAACTTGAATGTTTCCAAGCATCTCTAATGAATCTATAAAGATAAACTAGGATGCTGACCCTGGTCTTGGAACTAAATTCCCTTTGTTTGAGCCATCATATAGATTTTGTTTAATTTTGTTATGTGTATGAATGTAGTTTGTTTTTTGGGATATAAAACATATTTAAAGAAACTCGCGAGGCAAGCAGAGTCATTTGCGCATATGCTTTGATTATGGTCATTTATTTAAAGTGTTCTAAGGTGATTGAGCCATCGCATATGTTTTGATTTTGAAAGCGATTGTTTATTAATCTTTTGCAGTAGTTCTTCACTTTTATACATTTTATTAGTATTTGAAACGGGAAAAAACTAAACTTTTTTTTTTTTTTAGTGATAAACCAATTATTTGACCTTTTTGAGATTATTCACATTGGCCAGTGTTTATGTTCAATTGAGAAGTGGTCATTTGCTTGTGTAAAAATAATGCACATTTTCTGTTTTCATGCATTTTGGTGTATTTTTGGTAAATGTTGTCAAATAAATGTTCATTTAATTTCGGTAATTATTTTCATTAAATGGTTTAATGTAAATTCTTTCATCTTCACAATCATATGTGTTTTGGTTGTGCTCTGCTTAGTCCATTGAGCTCCTTTTTCATAATCAATGATAAAACTCGTTGTAATTTTTATTTTTTTGGTGTATTTCACAGTCCACATCTTTAAATGTGCTTTATTGTCTGTAAATTCGATGACACTGTGGGTGGTCTGCTGACCAAGAGAAAATGCTTTGTTTTTCCATTTTGTAAGGATCTCAGAAAAGTCCCCACATGAGACCATTGTCAGCTGGCAGAATCACTTTCTTGGGTTGTTTTGCTTACTGTCATCATTAAATGGTTTGTGACCAGCAGCGCTTGCACAGCTAGACTCGTCCCAGTAAGATCTTAATGATGCATATTGCAAACTGGACATTTTTGGCAGATATTATCTGATGATCTCCATACGTCAGAATCTAGTCGGGCTTTTGCTGTGTGACTGTGTGGAAGGGTTAAACGTGCACAATGCGATCTCTTTTAACAGCCAAGAAAAGCCTACTGTATCCATCACAGATGTTATGTGTGTTGCCTTGTCTTCTGTGTGAGCATGTAACACTTGCTGATGTTTTAGTCTTAGTTTCATGGGACATGTGTGACACTATAGTACATTAGTTTGTTCACAAGTTTTAATTTGGTGGAAAATCATCCAAGAAGATTTTTAAAGGACTTTCACCCCCCTCCCCTCCCACCCCAAAAAAAAGGGAAATTCTGTTATATATTCACCCCCATGTCATTCTAAACCAGACACATTTTTTTGGAATACAGAAGCAGACATCTGCACTTTTCCTTACAATGAACGTGAATAGGTAAGCGGCTGTCCAGCTCCAAAATTACCTTAAAAGTATCATAAAAACAGTCCATATCCCCTAAGTTAAAAATCTTTCAAACTCATATGATTGCTTTGTGTGAGAAACAGACCAAATGTTGAATTATAGAGTGGGGGAACTATCACGTCAGAATCCGGAAGAGTAATTCACCGCGGGTTCCTTTGAGATTTTCCTATGAGGTTTTATAATGGGGTTTTTTTCAATGAATGAGTAAAATAAAGCCTGTGGTAAACATAACTTGACAATACTTTTACATTTTGTTCTACAACGTAAATTACACGCATCCATACCCAAAACACACATATTGAAGCAGTTGTGTTCACTTTTGAAAACGTATGTTTTTAATAAGTAACTGGATAAGAACGTTTGGGCTGTGACTGAGTGTGTGCAGTTTACATAGAACAAAACATAAAAGTATCGCCAAGGGATGTTTACCACAGGCTTTATTTTACTCATAAATTGAAAAACCCCATAGGAAAATCTCGAAGGAACCCGCGGCAAATTACAGTTCAGGATTCTGCCGTCATAGTTCCCCCACTCTTATTTTTATGTTGTTTAAACCCAGTTGGTATCTTGGAGTGTTCGATTCGTTTTGAAACACAATATTGATCTCATTATATGAAATGCTCCCAATACTTTGAACAAAGTCAAAATAGAAGTGAAATGTTTTTTAAATTAGTAATTTTGACACAAGACGAACAGTCAACAAAAAATACTGTTCATTAAAATGCATTTGATATTAGGCCTACATCAGGAATGGACTTCAATAAGCTTGGACTTGGTCCTGGTTCATGTACAGGGCAATGGTGACCTCAGATTAAAAATATTCGTAACTCTCAAGCTAAAAATGGCAGAATTATGTTTGATACATATGCTTGCATTGTATTAAATAATGTCATTTTTATTTATGTAATTTATTACTAATAATGATTAAATATGAAAGCTCAAATGTGTGACCTTCTGGGTTTATTGTATTTGATGCAAAATTATATCTAACCTTTCATTTTGGTGAAATATACACAATACATATCGTCCTATACATAAATCATATTATTTTTACGCCCCTGTTGGTTACCGAACGTGAGAAATATTGGTGTTTGGCATCATTAATGTCAAACCTTGCGCTTTTCAATGTATGGAAATGAGATTTCAGGGCTCAAAAATAAGAACTGTCTGATGTTTTTATTTTACTCGCTGTTTACTTAAAGGGATAGTTCACCCAAAAATAAAAAATTACCCCATGAGTTACTCACCCTCAAGCCGTCCTAGGTGAAAAGCTTGGAAGAGCCAGGACATTTTTCTATATAACTCTGATTGTATTCTTCTGAAAGAAGAAAGCCATATACACGTAGGATGGCTTGATGGTGAGTATGGGTGAACTATCCCTTTAATTTAATAAATGTTTTATTAAATAGTGTTTTATAATAGTTAAGATAGTAGTTTTTGCAGGGGTATCAAATTGAGAAATTGTGAAAATTCATGGGTATCTAAAAGTTTAGTGTCATGACAACCGTATTTATTAGAATATAAGGTTGCATGGGTCGAAGTATCAATTTTATTTATTTATTTAGGGTTTGAGGCAAGTGGATATTTTGTAAGGCAAGAAAAATCTGAACCACTGGCCCGACTGGCCAAATAGAAATAATCTTTAGCGTTGAGCCCTGTATTTGATAGTAAATATTAGCCTTTTACTCGCACAGAGCTAGGACTGCACGATTATGACAAATATCATAATTGTCGATTATTCCCTTGAAATTGTAATTGCGATTATTAATTACGATGATCACAATTTACATAGAATGATGTGATAGGCCATATCATTGTTTGAAGCAACTGCATGCCATATTTTTTAGATGAAAATAAACAAGCTGAAAACACTAACTGAAAAACTTTTATTGCTTTTCTGTAGTATTAAGCCTCAAATGTGAACTATACATTGGATTGTTTTCCAAAAATATGCATGGTACTATAATGTTATACTAAAACTAAAATTAAAACAATGGAAAAGCCTTTAAGACTACCTGTAGAAAGAAATAAACACATCTTAAGCATGCAGAATAACATAAGTGCGCTTTGAACGATTACGTAATTGTGGCATGATGGCATCTGTAATTGTAATCGCGATTAGAAATTTGATTAATTGTGCAGCCCTACACAGCTATTGTATGACTTCAAAAGACCTGGAATATAGAGCATGAATCATATGGACTACTTTGCTTTTTTCTAACTGGACAGGTAATATGGCGTGATTACAAAGAAAAGAATAAAAGATGGAAAAACATCCAGGTTTTGAAATGACTTGAGTCAAGTTGTTGTGTAAATGTGCTTTTCGTGGGGAATAAAAAAGGTCACTTACCAGCATGACTAAAAGAGTCTGTCACCTTAAACTGAATTTTTTTTTATGTAAACATTGAAGAGCGAGATGTGTGAGATGTTTTGATCATCAATACATGCTTCAATGTAGATTCAAGTATGTTAAGTAATAAACATTCCTCGATGTTCTTCTGTTTTGAGGACTACGTTGTAATTTGGTATGCATGAGGAATGACTATGTGATGTGATTTGAGTGTGAGCATTTTAGAAGCACACTACAGGCTAGTTGTGAAGTGTTAGTGGACACCAGTGGGGTCTCGTAGCGTAGTCTTCATTTCAGCAGGGCTCGCATAAGCTTGATTGTTTTTTCTACAAGGGTTTCTGGCGGTCAGAGTATTGCTCAATCTTGCCCAACTGGGTTTAGGAGAAAGGAAATCCGATACGGCCCTTGTGTGTTTGCCTGACGCTGCGCGGGACATTGAAGGGAAGATCTGCAGAAAATGTCAGCTAGCTCGCTTGAACAAAACTCGTCTGGTGTCTGCAAATATTTGGACTTGAAACTAGGACATGAAAGCTGTTTCTGAATAATAACCACTTCCTGTTTTTGGCCTTGTTTTTCTTCCAGATTTTTCTGTTTTGTACATACATTGTTTTGTATATACTGTATATGATGACCTCGGTGGGCGTCGAACGAGCCCGGGGCACTCGAGACAAAGCACTGCCCACTACCACACAGACCACACAACCACAGAAACATCTTCAGGTGAGTAAACGACAACATATGGAAACATATGCCATGTTAGGAATAACATGCAACCAAATTATTTCTGCAGTGCACAGTATGACCATAATCTGCTGGGTACTGTATCCCAGAATATGGTTGACTTGACCTTCCATTTTCCTTAGGGGGAGTTTACATAAGACACTCTTGCATTAAAAACAGGTAGACAGAGGAGATTGCTGTTAAGCCTCACTTTTAAGTTGATCTGTTTATAAAGTGACCTCTTTAAAGGAATAGTCCACCTTACTCCCCCACATGCCATTCCAAACCTGTATGCATTTTGGAACAGAAAAGAATGTTGCTAACCAAACAGTTACGGGCCCCATTGACTTCCATTAGTGTTTTTTTTTTTGTGTGATGCAAGTCAGTGATATTCAAAACTTTCATGCAGGTTTGGAATGGCATGAGAGGGAATAAATTATGACAGGTTTCATTAATGGACTGGCTATCCCTGTAACGCAATGCTTGTGATGGGATGCTCAAAAACAGAGAGAGGTGAATGTGTTTGGCTTTAAAGAAGAATAATTTAACACAGCTTCTCCAAGAGAACATGCTGCCAGTGCTCAAATTAAAAAGCCACTAAAATAAAAACTGCAGGCATGTATGAAAATCTAGATAGTAGTACTCTAGACTAGTCATCTTCACTAACTGCTTAGTAAGTTATTATTTGATTACACTACCAAAATTTAACAAGTTTCACAAACTTATTAATAACAAGTAATTAATCTTATTACATTAATGGTCTACATTTTCTACATTAAATGCCTACATTTTAATTTCAGAGGTAATAACTGGACTCTTTGCTGAATAAAACATACAAAGTAATGAGGTCTTGTGACAAAGTATTTAAAGACATTTATTGTTGCATAATGCATACTTTTATGTTTAACAAAGTGGAAGGCAGTATACTGTAGGGCTGTGCAATTAATCGAAATTGTCATAAAATGGCGATTTGAGCTTGCGCAATTTCTAAATCGCTTTATAGCACGATTCCTGTTAACGAATCAGAGTGTTCGCACTGCACGCGATGGCGGTCTGGCAGTGTGCTCCAGGAACGGTGCGTCTGCAGCAGTCATGCTGCGATCGTTTCCGCACGGAATCTATTTCTGCTGTGCTGCACGCGCATAGAAGTGGCAGCGCATTATTCGCTGTAAACGTTAACATGGATTGACACGGAAATTTAGTAATTACACCATAAATGCATATAATTAAAGTCTACTGTTTCACAGTCAACACATGGCTTTTTGGCTAGATTTAAAACAAGGAAAACTGCACTTTTAGATAAACAAGGCAATAATAGATGGCACTCGTGGTGGTAGTTAAACAAAGTTATATTTATTGAGTTTAAACGTGAATGTCTATGAAAGATTGTATTACTGTACTGTGATAAAAGAGAATCACAATGCTGAAAAAGCATTTTCAGGAACAACGTTTGGATTTGAAATCAAAATAATGGATAAATGTTGTGTTTGTGGTAAACAGCCGCGGATCAGGAGCGGACTGCAAACGCATCCTGTGCGAAAGCAAAATGAGTCCGTGCTGCTTCTGCACCGCATACACATACTGTATATGCACTGCAGATGGAGTACGTGTGAACTTGGCGCAACAAATCTAGTTCAACATCTGAGGCAATGCCACAAAGAGCTCTATGACCAATGCATGGCAAAAAAAATCCTTGGACACAGGATTTTTTTTTCTCCCCTGCCATGTCTATTCTAGAGACATTTTGTTACACCTTTACTTGGTGATTATTTTGCCTTATGTCTGTTCTAGAGACATGTTACAGCTTTTTGATAAAGCTCTAATTGGTTTTCTTTTAGAAATATTGGGTTTCAAATTCACACTGAATGCAAAATCGCAAAATTGATCAAAGAAATGTTGCCAAACACACTCGCAGTGGACCATGTCTGCTTCCACTTGTGTGTGATATGTCTTGGCCATGAATCTGACTGCTCAGACAATTGCCTTTTGTTTTTTAATATTGATTCTTGGTCACTCATTCTGATGTTCATAACTTATTCTTATTCCAATTACAGGCTACAGCCGAACAGATCCGACTGGCCCAGATGATCTATGACAAGAACGATGCAGATTTTGAGGATAAAGTGAAACAGGTAGGCCTATGAGAAGCTCTTTTCATTCAGAGTAAAATTATGTTTTAACTCCTCTGTTAACCCTAATGATGTCCATATTTGCCCACAGCTCATGGAGGTTACAGGGAAGAACCAAGACGATTGCATGGTTGCTCTTCATGACTGCAACGAGGATGTCAACAGAGCCATCAACTTCCTGCTTGAGGGAACTTCTGATGCGGTAAGAATCCCATCCAACAGATGCACATTAGGGGTGTGCGATATATATCGTCTACAATGATATCGTAATTGCTGTTTAAACGATATGCGATTTGACATTATAGAGTATATCGCAAAAACCAAACAAAAACACACCCAGAGAGTGCACGCATACACTACCTGATATATGTTAGAGACTACTGTGTGCATTTAGAGTTCACATTTTCACTGCATGATTTAGTCTATTAAAATACTTTTAGAATTTCCCCAAAATTCAAGGTAAGGTGGCAAAAATGGCTTTTATGACTTCTATATGTCTTATATTTATATAATCTGATGTAGTTAATATCACACAAAGAGTGAGGATTTTCTCCAAATATCATCACGATTGAAAATGTGATGTTCAATAAACAAGTTAATATTGTGACTTACATTTTAGACACTATTTTATTTTTGTTTTTGCTGTATTTTGACAACGAAAATAGTTTGAAACAAAGCCTCTGAGCAAAATATGAGGTTTTTCGTTACTGAATCACTCAGTGGTTTGAACAAATCTGTTGAATGAATAACTCCCCAAAATCATTTTAAATATCAGAATTCAACTTGTGACTTACATTTTAGACACTATTTTATTTTTGTTTTTGCTGTATTTTGACAACGAAAATAGTTTGAAACAAAGCCTCTGAGCAAAATATGAGGTGTTTCGTTACTGAATCACTCAGTGGTTTGAACAAATCTGTTGAATGAATAACTCCCCAAAATCATTTTAAATATCAGAATTCAACTTTTTTTTTGTATTTGTATTTGCAGGTTAATTGCATTCATGTCCTGCATTAAACAGTCTGTGTAAAAGCATCTAAATGCCACTTCAAATGCAGATTCTGTGCCACCTCTGCATTGCAAACACAAATTTTGTTGATACTGATTTTATTTGGTAACAGCCCTGTAGTGTCTTACTATTTGAATTTATTGATTAAATCTAAAATCAATTTAAACTATTTCTGTTGGTCCTGCAAACTAACCACCTCACAGAATATGAAGAATATCAAAAGCTTTGGGAGTCAGCTGTCCACAGCAGTCCTAAACCTGTTAAAGTACCAGCACAATAACATGCTCAGCAAAATATCATCTAATTATCGTTATCGACAAAATTCTAGAAAATATTGAGATATGTTTTTGTCATTATCACACATCTCTATTGCACATGTGACTAGTCTAATTGGTAGGCACTAAAACTCATGATGAGATTTAAAAAAAAAAAAAAGGGAATTGGTTTTACTGAAAACGTCGCTACTGTCAGCTGTTTTGTGGCAGGCCTGTAAAGGCAGAACAATTTGTCTAGCTGGGATTTTTATTTTTCTGCATGTTTTTTGTTTCTTTTTTTAGCTTAATGATGAACATACCACAGTGCTTAATATCCAGATTCATGTGTGATTGATGTTGATGTACTTCACAAATGAAGCATCGGTGACTATTGTTGTGGTGAAATTTGAGAGGCCTCTGCTTATAGACTAGGATTTGTTTGAATGATTTCTGGGAATGAAACTCTAAAATAGAAAGTGGGTCGCTTCTGTAGTGTTGATCAGAAGGTAATCCTGTGTCATAACAGACCTCTGCCTCCACCTCTGTGTCATAATACAAGCTCCTAAATGTCCTTCGTCAGCAATAATGATTCTACAGTAATGATTAGCAACCCTTTTTTTTTTTAAATCAGTTATGTAAAATGGCATTGATACTTGACACCTGCTGTACGATTATGTTCTTTTAGTTTTTTGTATGTTCTGACTGCTGCTGATTCATCTCTCCATCATCTTGCAGACCAGTTGGGAAACAGTTGGAAAAAAGAAAAGTCTTGGAAAGGATACCACCTCCACGGAGAGTAAGGAAAACAAGGAGAACAGGGAGAAGAAAGAGAGGGAAAGCAGCAAGGGTCGTGGAGGAGCGAGCCGTCGTGGCAGAGGGACCAGTCGCAACCGGCCAGGTGAGTGTTTTGATGAGATTTCCTTGTGTTTGTATTCAGTAGCAATATTTAAACTATAAATTTTTCCATTTGATTTTGTGTGAGTAGGGTTTAAATTTAAAAGGGTTATCTGTGATGTTACTTTATTATCTATATAGCGAGGACTGAGGAGAATGGCGTGGACCCTGCTGCTGTTGAGAGAGGTGCTGACCGTGGCCGCAGGGGAAGAGGGAGAGGTGAGCTCACACACACAGTGTAAACATCTCCTACTTTGTCATTTGCATCAGTTGTACTTATTAAGAATGTGCAAAACTACATTTACAAAACCGATTAGCTGGGTATTCTGTATTAGGGAAGGATTAGACTCATGTCCACCAGATTACTCCTAGCAGGTGATTTGAAATATTGAATGGTGCTTTGATGTCTGTAGCAGTGGTGCTTTAAAGGGGATGAATTTCACAGAGTGGGTTTTACCCCCTAAAGACCTGACAGTTATAGCACCTGTAGACTGTGAGCAGCGCATTAGAACCTTCTGTGAGAAGTTGCATGCCCATTTTTGAAGTGGAATTTAAATATCTAGCTGTTGGACATTTAGGATGTTTGACCATTCTGACTCATCCCCAAGTGTTTATGAGTTATTGTTTTTTTCACAGTGTCTGGAGGTAGAGGCAGAGGTCGGGCTCCAGTTACCAGCAGGTTTACAGCACAGGGGATGGGGTGACTGTCACGAATGATGATATTTTAACCTTGAATAATATTTTTTATCATACAGCAGCCACCCGAGACCCTGTCTCACTCTCTGTGTATCCTCCTGCAGGACCTTTAACCCTGCAGACTACACCACAGACAGAAGGACTTCAAATTCACATGCTGATGTCTGGGAGACGGGGGCCAACGACACTACAGATGGGACAGGTAAGAGACCTCTATTGCACAGAACACATTTCCCAGTCTTTAGGCCCACTCTCATCTCTCTTTCTCTCTTTGACATGTTCTGTTCAGTGGCATGGCAAAACACTTTGGACGAGTGGGCAGCTGAAGACTGGAGTGAAGATGTGAGTGTGAGTCATGCTCTATAATTAACCTCCTGTGCATTATGGGATTTGCAGAGCTTGAAATTAATAAGCCCGAAAAGACATGGTATATGCGTTGTCCAGAAATGTTAAAGGTTAGCATGTAGACAATAGTGATGTTAAATATTTTGTAATGTATGTCTTTTTATAATTTGTATGTTATATAAAACATATATATTATACTTATATATTACAGAATTCTAAATATACAAGTATGGCAATTATGTTTTTAAAATATTTTAAGAAAATTAAATAACATAATATTTTATGTATTTTATGTAGTATTTTAATATATAAATTAGAATTATTACAATGAGAAATGTTTAAAATCATTTAAATATTATTTATAATTATTGTTATATATTGCTATTTTTATATAATATTAATGTATTGCTTGTTATATAATTTTAGAATATCTCTTTCATAATATCTCCTCATATTTGTATACTGTAGTCATATTTAATATTTCACATTTTTGTGCTACAAAAATAAAAGTACTCATTTGTCTCTTTTTAATCTCCAAAGCTCTCTGAGACCAAAGTGTTCACTTCCTCTTGTGCACCCCCAACTGAGAACCCCATCACACCTGGCCAAAGGTAATAAAGTCAGAACTGTGGTTCTCATTTCATTCCAATCTTGTGACGATTACAGCCATTGCAAATTGCTTGTTTTTTTTCACTGACTATTTTGTGTAATCCGTTGTAGTCTGGACCTATCAACTCTGCTGCAGAAGCCTGTGGATCGAGAGGAGGTGGGAGGTCTTAAGGCCGTGGGCTCCTCTCAGGGGCTTGGCCACAGTCTGGTCTTTACAAACTCCCACCACCAGCCTGCTCGCAACGGCGGCACTTCTGCTGTTTCCAACAGCTACACACACGCCACACTGGTGAGACAATCCACAGGCCTGATTTATAGCATTTAGAAAACTGTTTTCCTAGAGGATGAACGGCAGTAACTGGTGTACCTATGTTAAAGGTGCTTCAATCACATATTCTACAACTTAAATAATTTTTATCTCTTTTACTTTCTAGTTAGTTATTTTAAGACTAGGTGTATTGTGGTATATTGTTCAAAAGCACTAGAGCTGGCTTAGTGAGATCTGAATGGGTTTCCTGATGGCACCTGTCCTTTGTGTCTTTTTCCAGTCCTCTGTTTTGGGTTCTGGTTTTGGAGAGCTGGGTGGTCCAAAACTCGGGCAGACGGCCGGGCAGCAAATACTGGAACAGCTGAAGGGGCCTGGTCTTGGGCAGCTTACCTCCCAGCCCTCCAGCACAGGGACCAACTGCACCCCTGTAGGGGGGCTGGTGGGGACGGGGATGTCTGTCCCCTCCTCCTCCTGGGACATCAAACCTCCTGGAACACAGAGCTCCACTTCACTCCCCTCCCAATTCAGTCGTGAGTGTTACAATTGCTTTACTGACCCGGAAACACAAGCTTGTTCAGTCTTGCAAACATTTGGCTATGCATTAACTATGTTAATTTCTATGAACTTCTTCACACTGCATCCATTTTATTATTATTTAGTCCAACATTACTTGATGTGAATATGCCTTTTCTGAATTGTTTGCGCTGTAGGGGAGTTTCAGATGCAGCCAGAGCCATCATTGGTGCTAAGCCAAATCGCCCAGCGACAGCAGGGCTCCCTGACTCACATGGGACCTCTAGCCAGGCAACTCAGCCCTCCCCCCCTGAGCGCCCCTTCACCCGCCCTGGGCACACTGGAAGCCTTTCCGAAAGCACCGGAACCTTCTCAGCACCGTGATGGGCCCTCGATGGCCCCCTCACAGACAGCCGAATCTCAGGGCAGCAGCACGCATCAGCGGCAGATAAAGACTCAAAAGCGACGGATACCTCCCACTTCCAAGGTGACTAGAGATTAAAAAAGCATTGAGGTGGAATGCTTTGTAAGATCTATTCATGAACTCTCTATTACCAACTTCAGTTTGTAGATAAGCATGCATGAAATGGCCTTCACCACCCATTTTGCTTACATAATCTGGCTTATTTCTGGGTTCAGCTTTCAACCAAAAAGTGTGTAAGGTGGGGCTTGATTTTATCCATCTGGAACTTGAGTTGTGAAAAGTGAGTGTTACCAGAATAGTGGAGAGAACATGTTACAACGTTTTTTTTTTTTTTTTTTATGTTTCTTTTGAGGAAAATGCATGGATGAATTACTCTGGAGTCCATTTATATTTTGTTGTCATTGTGTTGTTATGTTTCTTGTTTACATTAATATTAATTGAAGTCATTAGCACAAAATCTTGAACACATTGAAAACATACTGACCCCAACTTTGGAATGATGGTATGTAAACCCTGTAATTGTTACAAAAAGGAGCTTTTATTGTTTCCATTGATGTTTTGTCAGTATATGCTGCCTGCTTTTATATGCGTGTATTTGCACATATCCAGATTCCTGCGTCTGCTGTAGAGATGCCTGGCTCAGCAGATATGTCTGGTCTAAATGTGCAGTTTGGAGCCCTGGACTTCGGTTCAGAATCTGCCCTGCCGGACTTTGGCCAGTCTGAGAACTGCAACAGTGAACCCATAAGGGAGGCTGTGGTGGTTCCTCAGTCACAGAGCAGCCTTTACTCTAAACCAATCAGGTCAGTCAGTGGTAGAAATGGAAATACTGAGTACTGAGACTTGCTGATGTCTAAATTGTATTTAAGTGCTTTTTCTTTTTCTTTGAGCAGTGGACTTCATATATTGCTGATTTCCTAAATCTGTCAACGCATGTCTTTCAAACAAATGTTCTCTCTTCAGCTATAAAATATCTCTATTCTGCATGCTAATACATTTCCCATGATCTCCCCTGCAGTGAATCTCTGACTAGTCCGGTCCCTTTGCTGCTGCCTCTGGCCTCTTCTGACAGCATCTACCCCTCTCCTTCAGTACCTCTCCCCAGCCTCGCCCCCTCCCACACCACCCCCAGCTTGGCCGTGGCCCCCTCGTCCTCTTCATCCTCCTCTTCCTCCTCTGCGGCATCATCAGCGGGTAACAGCTTTGACTGCGGTGTGGCTCCTCACTCAAGACTGACCTTCTCTCAGAGCAAGGAGCCTTCTGGACCGGTGACAGTGAGTTCTGACAGAGAAACTATAGTTTTAGCTGTTTTACAGCTACAGAGCTGTGAAAATGTAAAGTTGCATTCTCAGTTAAAGGGTTACATCAACCAAGAATGACAATTTTCATAATTTACACTGTTGGGGAAAGGTTTGGGTTTCTAATATATATAAATTTTTAAATAAATGAATACTTTCATTCATCAAGGATGCATTAATTTGTGACAGTAAAGACATTTATAATATTACAGAAGATTTCTATTTCAAATAAATCCTGTTATTTTCACATTTTCTACAAAAGTGTTAAGCAAAAAATTAATCAGCACAACTGTTTTTAACCTTGTTAATAAGAAATAATTTTTTTGAGAACCAAATCAGCATATTAGAATGATTTTTGAAGGATCATGTGACACAGAAGACTGGAGTAATGACTTCTGAAAATTCAGATTTGCCATCCCAGGAATAAATTAAAATTTAAAATGTATTAAAACAGAAATCAGTTCTAAATTAGTCAAAATCTCAGAATATTACTGTATTTACTGTATTGTGAGCATAAGTCTTTTTTCTGAAACAAATTTTGAGCAGTTGTGTAGGTGCTCCATGTTGCATCCAAGTTGTTCCATGGATCGATTATTTCTTTAGTGCACAGTACCAATGTACATCAAGGAGTTTATGCTGCCTATATTGATTCAATACACTTTGTTTCCATTTCTGACAGAACGGTTTCAATGGTGCGAGGACCTCTGCTGCTTTAGACAGTAAGTCAAACGGCTCAGTTTTACCCTTCCTTCTGTGATGCATACATAAAAGATTATTTTTTCTCTCTTTGTTTTTGTAATATATGACATTTATGCTGCCTTCTTCAGCCACATCGAGTTCCTCCACTCCAAAACAAGAGTCTCCCTCTCTGGGCAGCAGCGCAAGTGTTGCCCCGTCTGCCCCATCCTCACTGTTGCCCTCTTCTGTTACACCACACAGCTCTGCTTTGCCCAGCCTGGCATCTGAGCTGTCCTCGGCCAGCTTACCTCCCCTCAGCAGGTGAGCGAGATGCTTATTTGTACCTTTTCTTTGCACAGTTCTTTTCTCAAAAACATTCTGTGGGCTACTTATATCTGTGACTCTGCCTGTTTTTCCTGTAGTCATGTGAACAGTGGCCATTCCTCTGTGTCGGCACTTTGCACCACATCTTCACTTACAGTGAGTTCTGTAGGATGCACACACACAGACACAAACACATGCACACTCTCTCTTCACCACTTCCGTTTGTATTTGTCCTCAGTATACCAGTGTGGACAGCGTGAACTCTCTCGCCCCCTCATCGATGCCGTTTTCCTTGCTGCCTGTGTCTGCTCTGCCCAGCAGCAGTGTTAGCAGCTCAGTGAGTGGCAACAACAATCTGCACGGGTCTGGAGTTTTGGGTCACAGCATCAACGGTAGCACACCTTCCGGTGTCAGGACTGTCCCGCTACTGTCTTCCTCCAGCGGTGAGCGAGACCACACATCAGTGTCGTCACATCATCTTAATCATAAACAAATATCATGATACCATGAAGTATCCTGAAACCATTCATATCATTTAGATGTGATTCCTTATAGTATGGTTAGAGTGTGGGTGTTCTGCTATGGTTTTAATTCCTAATTCATTTGTTTCTCAAAGCTTGCAAAAATCACATTTAAATAATGCTTTATGATTTTTGTATATACACTACCATTAAAAAGTTAGAAGTCTTATGCTCAACAAGGCTGCATTTTTTTTATCAAAAGTACTGTAAACCAGTAACATTGTGTAATATTATAATGAACATTTTTTTCCCCTTTTTGTTTCTCAAAGCTTGCAAAAATCACATTTAAATAATGCTTTATGATTTTTGTATATACACTACCATTAAAAAGTTAGAAGTCTTATGCTCAACAAGGCTGCATTGTGTAATATTATAATGAACATTTTTTCCCCCTTTTTTTAAATGTATTTTAAAATGTAATTTATTTCTGTGATGGCAAAGCTGAGTGCTAATGAAACGCTTAATATTAATGTTGGAAATTGATGTTTTTTTGTGTAAACTGATATTTTTTAGTAAATAGACAATTCAGAAGAACAAAGAAACTTTTGTTTTTTGTAACATTACGGTCACTTTTGATCAATTTAATGCATCCTTGCTAAATAAAAGTATTTTGTTTAACATACTTTTGAATCGTACTTTAGACTTGTGTAATGCTTAAGTAACCATTAGTAACCTCATAATAGTGGCCTAGCAACCACCCACGATACCCCTAGCATTGTGGTAAAATGTTTTGGACTCAAGTTTTCTTCAGAAAATATATATATTAAAAAAACACTTTAAAGTTTATTGCATACATATGATTTGAAGTAAAGCTTTTATGTAATAGTGACTAGCAAATGTACATTTATATTTAGTGTATTTTATTTTATGTGTAAAACAGTAGTATCAGTACCACCGTTTGAAAAATATTGTGGCAATGGTACTGCAATATTATTCATCAAACATATAGACCTTTGCAAACAAATGTGCATAATTCTGTAATGATTCATGATTCTGTCACAGTGTCTTCATGTTGCAAGCATGTACTGTATATAAACAACAAAAAAATGTGTTTATAATTTTCATATTTGCTTCAAGTCTAATCATCAGCTCCTGTATCCATTTGAGTTGAGGGGAAAATCTGCTATTCTTCATTCTCCAATATATATATTAAAAAAACACTTTAAAGTTTATTGCATACATATGATTTGAAGTAAAGCTTTTATGTAATAGTGACTAGCAAATGTACATTTATATTTAGTGTATTTTATTTTATGTGTAAAACAGTAGTATCAGTACCACCGTTTGAAAAATATTGTGGCAATGGTACTGCAATATTATTCATCAAACATATAGACCTTTGCAAACAAATGTGCATAATTCTGTAATGATTCATGATTCTGTCACAGTGTCTTCATGTTGCAAGCATGTACTGTATATAAACAACAAAAAAATGTTTATAATTTTCATATTTGCTTCAAGTCTAATCATCAGCTCCTGTATCCATTTGAGTTGAGGGGAAAATCTGCTATTCTTCATTCTCCATAAACTCTTCCCTGTCTGTGTGTAGGTAAAACTCCTCCTAATCTCTCTCAGGGGGTTCCTCCACTGCTGCCTAACCAGTACATCATGGGACCTGGAGGTTTGCTGCCTGCCTATCCGGTAAGAACCTTCCTCCTCTTAAATCAAAAACACATCAGTTTTCAGTCCTCTTGTGTAGTGGTGTGTTATTGTGTGTGTGAGACGTGTAAAGAGTGTATTTGATACATATTTAATTATGTGACCCAGTACAAGCATTAAGTAAGTCTGTGAATATCGAAATACTTAATATTGATTTCAGTAAAATGTATAGTGTGTAAAGTGCTGAAAGTTCTCGTTTGTGCTGTACAGCAGATTTATGGCTATGAAGACCTCCACATGCTCCAATCCAGACTACCAATGGTGAGTCTGAACCCATCAAATTCACTACTGCTACTGAGCTTCATGTTTTCTTTTCAAACTTGCTTTATTTTCTTGACTATTAGTTGACTGACACTGGACATCTTGAGAGCAGAATGGCAGATATAGCTCTATGATATGAGTTATAAACATAACTGCTGATATTCACACATTTACAAGGCTGCTGCTAGGAAACATTTTGAAAGAATGGGAGAGCTAACATCTGTTAATGGGCCAAGCATGTGCTGTTATCAGCTCAAAAAGCCCAATGACTAATCGGCCTGACCCAGGCTTGTTACTGTTATTACATAATCGACTGATAATGATTATTTGATGAAGTCATGAGTATTTGAGATAGTGATCATTGTGCACTGTATATTCTAGTCAATTTAAAATTGCCACCCAAATAAAAATAGCAAATATAAGCAAAAAATAAATAAAAATTCAGAAATCAAAGCTCTTCCTTCATGTGAAATTATTTTAAAATAATTAAAATCCAGTTTGAAAGGTGAAGAAATCAGGACTTTAGAATAACTTGTGGTTGCAAAACTAATAACATTTATGTGTGTGTATAATTCATATAATGTAATTACAGTATGATAACATTAATATTAATAATAACATTACTATTCTAATATACAGACAGAGAATCTGTAATTATTATAAGAATATAACTAATTATATTACTACAATATTCAAGCATTAATGGAAAGTGGACTTGTGCCATTTAAAGTGGGCAAAAAAGAGAAATATTTAAAATTTTAATTAAAATGAAATCTATCCTGTGCAGTATTTGTGCACATGACCTTAAAGAAAATCATATAGAACTACTTCGAGCCACTTCTTTATCACTCTTGCTTTGTGACATGGTGCTCCATCATGCTGGAAAATGCACGGATTATCACCAAATTGCTCATGGATCGTTGGAAGAAGTCGCTCTTGCAGGACGTTTTGATACCATTCTTTATTCATGACAGTGTTTTTAGGCAGAATTATGAGAGAGCACACTCCCTTGGTTGAAAAGCAACTCCACACATAGATGGTCTCAGGATGCTTCACTGTTGGCACAACACAGGACTCATGGTAGCGTTCACCTTTTCTTCTCCGAACAATCGATTTCCCAGATGTCCCAAACAGTCGGAAAGGAGCTTCATCAGGGAAAATACTTCCTGTACTTCCTGCAAAATTTCAGTCTGTCCTTGACATTTTTCTTGGAGAGAAGTGGCTTCTTTGCTGCTCTTCTTGACACCAGGCCGCTGTCCAAAAGTCTTGGCCTCACTGTGCGTGCAGATGCTCTCACACCAACCTGCTGCCATTCCTGAGCAAGCTCTGCACTGCTGGTGACACGATTCTGTAGCTGACTCCTCAGGAGGAGACGGTCCTGGCGCTTGCTGGACTCTCTGGGACGTCCTGTAGACTTCTTCACTGTAGTCGTACCTCTCTCCTTGAAGTTCTTGATGATCCGGTAAATGCTTCTTTCAGGTGCAATATTCTTTGTAGCAATTTCCTTGCATGTTGAGGCCAATATGATGCAAAGCGATGATGGCTGCATGTGTTTCTTTGGAGGTAACCATTGCTAACAGGAACACAATGATTGGAAGCGCTTCTTCCCTTCTTTTATAGCAATCAGCCTGCTCTTACAATCTCATTAGTATGATAGTGATTTCACCTGAGTAGTACTCATTCACACTTTCACATGTGCTGCTGAAATTAGTCAATTAATGTTAGCTGGTCATTTTGTGTCAGGATCAAAAAACAGTGAAATTAGTTTTTTGTGAAAAGTTCATTTTTTTGGCCAATTAAGCTTTTTAGAAAAATGCATCTGATCACTCGACACAATAATCTAGAAACAATGTGAATGAACACCACAACAGCTTAAGCAGCAAACTTTGTTAGTTCAATAGTTTTGGCCATGATTGTACATTTGCTTTTTAATGGTCTGCAACGTTTGATTCATAATGATGAACAAAAGGAGAAATTAAAATTAGTGTATTTTTCTCCATTTAGGTGATGTCACAAAATTCGGCAGAGGTGAATCCACCTCACCAGCGCCCTCTACCAGCCTGTCTGCTGCTCATGCCCCACAGACGGTGCAGGCTCAGAGCCAAGGACAGAACCAGCACCAGCCGCAGGGCCATCACAACACACAACAACCCTTCCTAAACCCAGCCCTGCCCCCTGGATACAGCTACACAGGCCTTCCCTACTACCCCGGTGTGCCTGGCATGCCCAGCGCGTTCCAGTACGGCCCCACCATGTTCATGCCCCCTGCTTCGGCCAAGCAGCACGGCATGGGACTGAGCAACCCAACAACGCCATTCCAGCAGCCCAGCGGCTACGGCCAACATGCCTTTAGCTCAGGTTTGTGCAGATTAAATATATACACAAATTCTCATGCATGCTTTGTGCTGTTGAGTATTATTGTTTTTTTTGTGTATTTTAAGGGTACGATGACCTGACGCAAGGCCCAGCAGGGGCTGAGTACAGCAAAGGTTACAGTAACTCTTCTCAAACACAGGCCAAATCTGCTGCCTCCGGCCCAGGGAAAGGTACGAACATACTTGCACTTCACATGTTGGTTTTGCATTCTTACATATAAATGTATCCTGTCTACTAAATAAAAATAAATGATACATCACTGTACCCCAGGTGTCTCTGTGACATCTAGCAATTCTGGGGTGCCAGACATCAGTGGAACTGTTTACAATAAAACGCAGGTACTTATGTTTATTTATTTAATTCAGTTTTAAACATTTATTATTTTACATTATTGTATTGCATAATATATCATATTTAAATGTAGAATATTAGTTATTTTTCTCCATCTTCCCATTTCTTTTTAGAGCTATTACTATTGTTGTTGCTTTTTACACATTTAATAATTTTTATGTTAATTTTATTGATGTATTTAATGCTTTTTTTTTTCCTACAGCCGTTCGATAAGCAGGGTTTCCATGCTGGCACACCTCCTCCTTTCAACCTCCCCTCGGCTCTGGGTGGCACGGGACCTTTAACCCCTGGTGCTGCCCCTGGTTATGCTCCTGCTCCATTCCTTCACATTCTGCCGGCCCACCAGCAGCCCCATTCACAGCTGCTCCATCATCACCTCACCCAGGACGGACAGGTCAGTCCCTGTCTAGTTTTAATGCCTTTTCACACAGAATCTAAATGTTGAAATGAAATAAAGCATCTCAAACAATTCCTTTATACCATGGCTGAGATATTATTGAAATGTGTGTGAACCAAAAAGCAACAAACTGTAAATACATTTTAAATATTTGATACTTTTAATGTCATTTCAGACACACTGAACACAACTACACTGTCTCCAAGTATTATAATGCTATTGATATGAATGCAAACACAAAAGTTGCCAAAATGGCCAGATTTCAGCCTTCTCAGCTGTCTGGTGTGTTTCGTTCACATAGGGTGGGCTAAGCCAGAGAAGCCAGTCCAGCACCATGCAGCAGAAGACCCAGGTCAACAAGTCCAACTATGGCAGCTCCCCTTACTGGGGCAACTGAGCGCAGTCCACAGCGCAGGTGCCGTCCCGTACCCAGTGACACGCCGATCAGATCAGAGGGACGCCCGTACACACTACCATCATCCTCATCCTCCTCCCACGTTCTCATCTCCCTTATTCAAAGTTTTGGCTGTTGTATGTAAAGTATATTTATGTATGTATTTATACAGTATATATGTATTGGTAGGATATGAAATGTGGTTTTTCTGCATTTTGATTTTGAAGGATTTTTTGTTGTTGTTTTTATTTCATTGCTAACTGGCTAAGAGGATATGATAGAGAAGTGATGAGAACATAACAGAAGGGTGAATATACTTGAAGCAAAGCAGGCATCATGATTCAAACATGGGAGTTTTTATTTGTATACATAACCCCGATAATGTATGTACATTACAGCTAAGCTTGATCATTTGATGGTGAAGCCTTTTTTAACTTTTGTATTTTGCCCCTCTCCCACCCCCTTCACCTGTGAACTTTTTTTTCTATGGAGGGGGATTTTAAGTTCAGTGTTTAATTATGTTCCCTCTGCCCTTCATAATTATGCCCCCAACCACCAAATTGGCTAAACAGTAGCATTTTAGATCAGATTTCATTTTAACATTGGTTTTACCCTTGTTGTCAAAATAAAACTGTCCAGTTTACTGGTTTAAGTCTTGATTATTCACGCACACAGTATTTGCATATGAGCAGTAAAACTGTCCACTGTTCTTTTGAACTTTATATTTCTCTAAGAATCCTGAAGAAAAAAAAATGTATCCGGGTTTTCAACGTTGATGATAATTTTCTTGCGCAGCAAATCAGCATATTAGAATGATTTCTGAAGGATCGTGTTACATTGAAGACTGGAGCAATGGCTGATGGAAATTCAGCTTTGCCATCACAGGAATAAATTACATTCAAAAATATATTGGAATAGAAAACAGTTATTTTAAATTGTAATGCTGTAATGTTGTTTTTTACCAGACAGGTGCACAGATAAGCCTCAATCGCCCTTTTGGCGAGATTTTATTTTTTTAAATTATTTCAATTGGGCCCATGCCATCAAATCTTCATTGTGCTCGATCACAGGCAGGCACCACAGTATGACGCAAATCGAGCGGCATCTACGACTTACCTTCATTGTAAGTGTTTCTAAGCTTCGACATTGTTTGGTACTGCTGTGAAATTACACTACTATTAAAACATCTCAACAAAACCAGCCTAATTTAAGCAGCCCTCCATTAAATAAGTCAAGCTAGTCCGGCGTTGGCGTAAATTAGCATCGTGACTCGTGAGGGTCGGAAATGCCAAGCTAAATAAAATCACTTTACCCACAAAATTCAAGATATGAATTGGCCCTGTATGCGTTCTTGTTTTTTATATTTATAACATAAAGTTAAGCAGTATCACACAAGCAAGAGTGGTTTCTCGAATATCAACACGTTTTATTGAACTGTTGTATGAAATATCTCAAGTTAATATCACAGTAAGTGACACAACATTGTCAACTTTGTTTTTGCTCCATTTCGTCAATGAAAATAGTTCCAAAGTAGAAATGTTGCGCTTCCGAGAAACAAACAGCCGTGTTTCATTACTGAGTGAATCAGCCTTTTTGAATGAGTCGAGTTTTTAAAAAAAGTCTGTGATTCAGTGACCCATTCATAAAGACAAGTCACTTCTTCAAAATGAATCAGCCGGTTTGAACTAATCAGCTGTATAGGATTCAATGTCTTGTTTTAAATTCATTTGATTAAAGAATTAAATAGTTACATTTACATTTATTCATTTGGCAGACGATTTTATCCAAAGCAACTTTTTTTTTTTTAGGAGGCTGCTGTTAGATGCTTGCTCATGGAAGAGTTTCAGTTGTTTTTTTGAAGATATTGAGGCCGGGATTCGGCTGTCCGGATGGAGTTAGGTAGGCCATTCCACTAACAGGGTACGGTGTTAAATGACCATGGTGTTGGTGTGCTTTACTGGCCAGCAAACTCACCAGACCTGAACCCCATAGAGAATCTATGGGGTATTGTCAAGAGGAAAATGAGCTGAAGGCCACTGTCAAAGAAACCTGGGCTTCCATACCACCTCAGCAGTGCCACAAACTGATCATCTCCATGCCACGCCGAATTGAGGCAGTAATTAAAGCAAAAGGAGCCCCTACCAAGTATTGAGTACATGTACAGTAAATGAACATACTTTCCAGAAGGCCAACAATTCACTAAAAAACAGTCTGTCTGCATTGAATTTATTTAATACACAAGTTTCACAATTTGAGTTGAATTACTGAATTCTAATCCAGTACATTCTAATTTATTGATGCACCTGTAGATGCACAGGAGAGAGCGGAGGTAGGAGAGTGCGAAGCCCGTGGCTGTTCTGTAGGCAAGCACCAATGTCTTGAACTTGATGTGGGCCGCTACTGGAAGCCAGTGCAGAGAGATGAGAAGCGGTGTGACATGGGCTCTCTTGGGCTCTTTGAAAACAAGACTTGCTGCTGCATTCTGAATCATTTGCAGAGGCCTGATTGCACATGCTGGAAGTCCAGCCAGAAGAGTATTGCAATAGTCCAGCCTAGAAATGACAAACAAGAGCCTGGATGAGAAGCTGTGTTGCATGCTCTGTTAGGAAGGGTAGGATCATCCTGACGTTGTGTAGTGCGAACCTGCATGATCACGATGGGCAGTCGTGGCCTAATGGTTAAGAGAGTTGGACTTGTAACTCAAAGGTTGTGGGTTCGAGTCGCGGTACCGGCAGGGATTGTAGGTGGGGGGAGTCAATGTACAGCGCTCTCATTGCTCTCAATATCATGACTAAGGTGAGACCCTTGAGCAAGGTACCGAACCCCCAACTGCTCCTTGGGTGCTGCAGAAAAAATGGGTGTGCTCAGGGTGTGTGTTCTCATGTGTGTTCCCTACTCACTGCTGTGTGAACCTTATCAGCATAGCAATGGTAGGAAAAACCATGTGCCTGAATGATGGGACCCAATGATGTAGTGTATAGAGAGAAGAGGAGGGGTCCAAGAACTGATCCCTGAGGAACCCCAGTGACCAGTTGATGTGATTTGGATACCTCTCCTTCTCAAACCACCTTGAAGGACCTAACTGTGAGGTAAGACTCAAACCAGTGGAATGCAGTTCCGTTGATGCCCAGCGTTGAGAGTGTAGACAGAAGGATTTGATGATTAACAGTGTCGAATGCAGCAGATAGATCCAGCAGAATAAGAACTGAAGATTTGGACTCCGCTCTTACACTCCATAGCACTCCAGGGACTGACAGTAAGGCGGTTTCAGTTGAATGGCCACTTTTAAATCCAGATTGGTTATGGTCCAGCTGGTTGTTCTGTGAGAGGAAGACATTTGGTTGAAAATGTGTTCAAGTGATTTTGCTATGAAAGGGAGGAGACACAGGCCTGTAGCTTTAAACAAGCGAGGCGTCTAGTGTAGTTTTTTTTTTTTAAGCAGTGGGGTTACCCAGCCTGCTTGAATATGGTGGGAAAAATGCCTGAGAAGAGAGGTGTTGATTTATGTGAATGGAGACAGACGTGCAGGGAAAATAGCTTGTAGATGTGAGGGGAACGGGTCTAGAGAGCAGGCGGTAGGGTGGCTGGAAAGGACAAGTTTAGAGACTTCATCTTCTGTAAGAGAAGCCACACTAATGTACGTTATTGTAAGCTGTAAAAAAAAAACTTAGCACTACATGTGTGATAGTCCATGCAGAATGGTTTCATTTCAGATGAAAATGTAGGCTAATAAACTGCAAATCAACTTCAAAGTTGGACATGGACTGACTGATTATGCAGAATCTTCTAATAGTAATTAACATGAGCAGATTAAATAGAACTGAAAATAAATTTATTGAAAGGCTAATTGTTTATGCATTTTCTAATATGAATTAAAATAGCTGGAGTACTTCGGAAAAACAGCTTGAAGCAGACGAGACAGACGTGCAGGGAAAATAGCTTGTAGATGTGAGGGGAACGGGTCTAGAGAGCAGGCGGTAGGGTGGCTGGAAAGGACAAGTTTAGAGACTTCATCTTCTGTAAGAGAAGCCACACTAATGTACGTTATTGTAAGCTGTAAAAAAAAAACTTAGCACTACATGTGTGATAGTCCATGCAGAATGGTTTCATTTCAGATGAAAATGTAGGCTAATAAACTGCAAATCAACTTCAAAGTTGGACATGGACTGACTGATTATGCAGAATCTTCTAATAGTAATTAACATGAGCAGATTAAATAGAACTGAAAATAAATTTATTGAAAGGCTAATTGTTTATGCATTTTCTAATATGAATTAGAATAGCTGGAGTACTTCGGAAAAACAGCTTGAAGCAGACATGCATAATATCGGTTCACATGTACCATCATGGTAAGAGTTTAATTACAGTATTTGTAAGTATAAAAATATGCATACCTACAAACAGCTCAGACATTACTATGAACAAACACTCATCAAGTGAAACCATTTCATCAATTAGAAGCATTTGAAGTGAATTTAGATGACAAGCTTGTCTTTTTATTGATGCCAAAGGGCCGTCATTTTATTAGAGCAAGGCACATAAATGAACCAGCCGTTTCAGAAAGGTGCTTCGAGAATGATGGGAAACAAAGCAAGACTGTGTAAAAGGAACTAAACAAGACCGCTCTCAATGCATCGCTTTTTGGCTCACAAAAATCTTAAATGCTAGACCATGAGTCCAAAACGTATAATTGAAACTAAAAATAAAGCTGTACAATACTGAAAAAGTTAATTGAGAAGGAATGAGTTTATTCATCCTAAGCCTTTTTCTTTTTTTTCTTTTTCTTCTCTGCCCGTGTCACATCAGCCTCCTCAGTCACCTCAGGCTCCGCCTCCACTGCATCAATCTTCCTCTTCTTTTTCTTCTTGGCAGGTGTGGCCTCATCAACACCGTTCGTCAAGACGTCCTCGTCAACCTCCGGTTCCTCCTCAGCCACCTGCTTTTTCTTTTTCTTCTTTAAGCCATCTCCATTTTCCTGAAGAACAGAGGAAACCATCAACACCATGTATGAAATAGAAAAAAAGAACTTCCTCTGAGATGACCATGTTCTGCTCACTTCAGTGATCAAGCCCACTGAGTTGGGCCAGTCAATGGTCGGAGGAGCTTTGCTTTAGCATGACAGATATAAGACGGGTCCACGAGAAGGTCCAGCCTCCAGTATAGTCATGCTACTTGTGCTAAACACCACCGATGGAAGTGTTACTCACACGTACCTCAGCTTCCTTGGGTTCCTCGTCATCTCCTTCTGCTGTGGAAAGAGCTTCCAATTTCCTCTTCTCACGCTTCTTTTTCTTCTTTTCTTTCTTCTCGAGCTTGCGCTTGATTTCAGCAGCCACCTCACTAGCCTGCGAGACAGAAAAATGTTAATGTATTTGCATTTGTACAAGCCCATTATAAAATATGAATTTTATAATGCTGTGTCAGGCTCAATAAATAAATTTTTGCCACCATGTAGGAGTCAGGAGACGAGAGTCATCGCTCACAGCACTTCCCGAAACTACAGTAACAATGATTCCTAGTGAGAAGCCTTTAAAAAAGGTATTATTGGCAATTAAAGGTTCATAGAGTACGCAGCACTGCTAGCACTATTGAGCCTTAGGCAGCACAAGGCAATCGCAGAATTTGTTACCATAACATTTCATAGACGATGCCATCGTCCATGGCTGACAGTCATCACGATGTTAAGTAATTCGTGATTTCTCCCTCCCCCACCCCCATCTCCCGCAAACCGCTGCATCCCAGTTCCGTGTTCGGAAAATAAATGAAGTGTACTACGGAAACACTAAAGGGAATAAATAGCCTACGAGATGGGAGGATAAATAAAAAAAAATTAAAAAAAACCTTCAATACTTTTTCCTCGCAATTATATCGTTGGGTAAGTATAGGCGACTGTATATAAATTGCGGGCATAAGGGAGCCACTATTGAAACCACTTTCGATTGCGAGCTCTCATTTTACCTTCCCGCAAACCGCTGCATCCCAGTTCCGTGTTCGGAAAATAAATGAAGTGTACTACGGAAACACTAAAGGGAATAAATAGCCTACGAGATGGGAGGATAAATAAAAAAAAATAATTAAAAAAAACCTTCAATACTTTTTCCTCACAATTATATCGTTGGGTAAGTATAGGCGACTGTATATAAATTGCGGGCATAAGGGAGCCACTATTGAAACCACTTTCGATTGCGAGCTCTCATTTTACCTTCACTTTTGAGATTCGCGATCACAAGGACTCTATACTATGGAGCAGCAGTACTTGCCACACATTTGACAAGATTAGATGTTTGTCATTGGTGCTCAGGATCTGCAAATCATTCGCCATCGTCCTATCAGACATTTCTCCTTACTCTGTGTATGTGGTAAGTGAACTTTCATGTACTGTAATGCAACAGGCTACCGCTAGCAAGTGGCTAACCTTTTAGCGGCTCCGTATAACGCGTCATTTGTTTCACACTTCAGGCACACCCCTAACCCCGCCGATGTCATCGTCCATCACAATGTTTGACTGTAGACATCATCTGATGCCAATTTGGTAGACGTCGCCCAACCCTAATTTCACAGTCAAAGGTTTCATTTTAACTAGCAAGCTGGCTAATGATCAGTTCTCACCTGTATAACAGCTTCTTTCATGACGTCCAGGTTTTTACGTGGTGCATCTCCCGTCTCATAGAACGCTAGACGTTCTTCTACCTGGTCACGCAGCTTGTCACCGAACACACTGGTGGGAACCTCTGTGTGAACAGAAAAGGGAGGGGGGGTTTAGCGGCTCCGTATAACGCGTCATTTGTTTCACACTTCAGGCACACCCCTAACCCCGCCGATGTCATCGTCCATCACGATGTTTGACTGTAGACATCATCTGATGCCAATTTGGTAGACGTCGCCCAACCCTAATTTCACAGTCAAAGGTTTAATTTTAACTAGCAAGCTGGCTAATGATCAGTTCTCACCTGTATAACAGCTTCTTTCATGACGTCCAGGTTTTTACGTGGTGCATCTCCCGTCTCATAGAACGCCAGACGTTCTTCTACCTGGTCACGCAGCTTGTCACCGAACACACTGGTGGGAACCTCTGTGTGAACAGAAAAGGGAGGGGGGGAAAAAAAAAAGTCAAGCCAAGGACACACAAGAACTATTAAAGAAAACCAAAGGGTTTGACCTAAAGTTCTGCTCAGAATTATCATCTCAACAACCACTGAGGTGGGTTACTGTTGACGAAAAATTAAAAGCATCATAGCAAGAACCAAGTAGCGGTAGCTAAAGAAATGAGGGGAGATGGGATACTCACCAGAAAAGCAGTCAATGCGTGATGCAATGGTACACTTGTTGGCCAGGTAACGAGAGATACGACCTTTGTTCTTGGCAGCTGCACGCCCGATGAATGTTGAATGGAAAATGAGACCATACTTTGGCGTGTTTCCTTTGGTCTTCAGTGCCCTAATTCACAGAACAAAATCCATCTACACCACTTTTTTTGAGGGTCAAAATCTTTTGGTAATTGGGTAACTGAAATGATATATTAAACCAGTCATACTAATATTCTTCAGCAAAGACCCAAACACATCAACAGAAAAGTGCCATTTAAACATCACTTAATGTCAATGATTATAGCACTCCAAAACAATTTAGGCCAAAACCAAAAATTGGTTGTTGAAATTGATGCACCACTATCAATTTACTGCTATAACTTAAATTCTAAAGGTCTAAAGAATTCGTCTCGTCTCAACATTTTCAAATGCATCTACCTCTCAAAACCCTCATCAGCTGCTCAGACTGGGGGGGGTTAGGGGTACGTGAGATTGAGTGGGATCACATAACGGCATGTTCATTGCCACACCAAATCACCCACTCCTGCTATGCCCCGGCCCTGCCATCACTGCAGCTGTGTGAAACCCCAGCAGGGAAGGGGAGCCCCAATACCTGAACAGGGCCTTCTCTGCCCCCAGAATCTGCACAGTGGAGGCTGGATATTTGGCTAGGTTTGTCAGACTGCCGGCGTGAGAAATGAGACGAGCACCAACCTAATTAAAAAAAAACAAAGAGATCTATACACACCAACTTGATACTTCTACAGAATTTAAGAATTTTAAGAGAGGTTGCGCTCACAAACAAGCAATTACAAGCTCATGGGAGGAAAAGAAAATTCAAGCATAACTGGAAAAACACTTATGGTCAAGTCTTAAAGAAAATTTAAACATTTTAGATTAAAAATTCACAGATTGTAAATGGTACAACATTATACACTGATATACTTGAATGTCAAAGAAACCTCACATTAAAAAAAAATTAAAATCAAATTAAGTTTAGTACAACAAACATTATTATATACTTATTGCATTTTATAACAATCTAAAAGAAACACGTACCACTTCACCAATGAGTGCTGCAAGATTTGGCGCCACCTGGCTCATTTTAGACTGCAAATACGCTTGCAGCTCCTGCCTGTAGCTTGTGAGGGACACAACACGACTGGAGAAACTCTCAATGTTGATCAAATCAATAGGAGATATGTCCATACCTTCAAAACAATAATAAAAAAAAAAAACTGATGCATAAACTTCTTTCTTAAATCATTGGCGCACTTAAAACTAGTTGAGCTAAAGCGACTCAGTGAGGTACCCATGTTCAGTTCAGCGAGGAATGCTGTCATCACATGATTTCAGTGGATTGACAGATTATAATAACATCATAACATCCAGGACAAACCCACATTAGGTTATAATAATGACATCGATGTGCACATCTTACCCATAGAGCTGCGGGATGAATCTAGGATGGCCTGAGCTTTGCCACTGTCCATTGTGATTTCCTCTATAGCTTCCAGCATCTCCTCAGTCAGTTCCTTCCTGTTCCCGATCATCTTGGCCAGCTTACAATACATACTATTATCATTCACTATCTTCATCAGTTCTGGAAAGTGGTAGCCGTACCATTCACTGCACAGATACAAACAGAGCGAGTTCCAATAAATGAAAGTTCCAATAAGGGGCCATTCACACAACACGTCTTTGCAACTTAAAAACAAACTCAGCGCTCAGGAATGGTTTTTAAAAAAGCGCAGCGTAGAACGCAAGAGTCTCGAGACATGCTTTTGAGACGTGATGCAATAACGACAATAACGGAAATAGAAATAGGCAAACAGCAGAACTGATAGATACGAGTTTTGACATGGAAAAAAATAATAATAATTGCACTGGCTATCGCCTCCTCCGCCATGCTGCCATAAAAAAAAAAAATAAAAAAAAATTTGTCATGCCAACTTGCTACCGTAAACAGAAGCTTGCAACGCTTGCCCCGCCTCCAAATTCTTCTGATTGGTCCACTGCCATTGAGCAGCGCTGCGTGTAAACGGCATCTTAAAAATGCGGTGCTCATGTGCGAGTCATGACGCGAGCGTAAGAGTCACGCACGTCCGTCAAGCGTGTGCTTACAAAGAAAAACAACAAAAGTAGTGCATTTGAATGGAGAAACGCATTCCGTGTTAACGGCCCCTAAGGCTGCACATTTGTGTGCAAGTGTGATTACTTAAAGAAAAAAAAAAAAGACTTACAATAATTTTACTGTTTATAATTAAGAAACCCAAGAAAGAAAGAAAAAAAAAAACAGTACAAGTTTTGTACAGTACCAAGTATGCCCGTCTTAATTTCTTCATTTTCAAATGTTAAACCGCCGAGCTATTATTTTCAATTTTGATGATTGCACTAGGTACATATCATGATTTGGATTTTATTTTGAATAATCATACATCCCCAAGTTAAGTTTACTAGGTGCAAAACAACTTCCCACTCAAGGTCTGTCTCCCCCCTCAGGTTGTGCTCACTCCAGTCTGATGGACCAAACACTCCCGAGGAAGGACTTCACTGTCCCTCCACTTCCTGTACAGCCAGAGCACTAGGGGGCGCTGTCTGTGGTAAGCATTAGGAGGCTGCTGTATTTGTTTCCTGTAGTTAGATCAATCTAAATACTCCAGTGAGAAACATCTTACCGCACACGCATGGAGAACGTGTTGATGTCTTTGTCCAGCTGATCGAGGAGGGCGATGGACTGGATGATCATGTTGTCCACTCTGTTGACATTGAACTTGACTTTGGCTCTGGAGTAGCTGTGACCCAAACCCAGCTGAGCTTTGGACGCAGCCTGAGAGGTGAGCCCCTTGACCAGGGAATGAAAATGCAGACGCACACCTGTCAAATCACAAGCAGGTGCATTAGAAACGGTCATTGCTGGACTCATAAAACCACACTTTTTTTGGCCTGTCTGTTCAGATTTTCAGTATAAAGCATCAGAAATCAGGTGGTCTAGGTACATCATTACAGCAGGCTTTAGAAAATGTTTGGAAATATGAATTTGCATGTGTCATTTAAATCAGGGGATTTCAAAACGTTCACAAGGGGCTGCGAGGAAGTGCTAGGGTGTCCAGGGAAACATTGAGAATAGAATAAAAGCAGTTATTAAATATAACACAGAATTGAATTTTCCAAATGGTTTACAGTAAAACTTGAGTCTTTCATACACAAATATAAAACTACCTTTTAAGTTTTAAGAACGAGGATGATTATATTTTGGGTCTTTTTTTTTTTTTTTTTTATCTAAAAGATTGAAAACCCCTGATTTAAATAATCATGCTCTCTGCTCACCCCTTATTATTTCAGCTACAACGCCTCCAGTCTGAATGGACAGATTGAGCTCTTCTTGAAGCGTAGCACCAAGTTTAGCATCAGACACCCCCAACATCGCCTTCTTTTTACCTCCGGACGGAAGGTTGGTCTCCAAGAACAACTTGAGATCCGCATGGACAACTCCTGTCAGGATCAGATTAGAAACTAGGTGTGAGTAATTGAAGGTCACAATTTGTAAGTCAACATGCCAACCTCAGATGATCAGTTTGTAAGGATGTTGTCATCACAGTAATTCAGTGGATTGACAGATTATAGGTACATCATTGCATCCAAGCAGCAGTTTCAAATAAGACCTTCGTCTCTCTTACCTTCTGAGACGGCATTGATATTTTCCAGTGCACCTTGGGCGGATTTAAAGGGGAAGAATGCACTCAGTTTGATCACACTACTGAATTTGCCCAGGTTTAAGACACTTTGCTCCACCTATGAAAGATCGAAAAATGAGTAATTTAGAAAGACACTTCGATTTAAATTCAACTGAATTTAAAGTAATGAAATGAAAGTAGAAATACATCTACTCTTCCATATAGTGACTCATCGGAGTGTAATGGACTACTGAAAAATGGAAAGAAAAAAACAAAAGTAGGGCGGCCCGAGTGATGAATTTATCAGAAATATGTCACTTTTACATGAAAATCTTGATATTTTCCAGTGCACCTTGGGCGGATTTAAAGGGGAAGAATGCACTCAGTTTGATCACACTAGTGAACTTGCCCAGGTTTAAGACACTTTGCTCCACCTATGAAAGATCGAAAAATGAGTAATTTAGAAAGACACTTCGATTTAAATTCAACTGAATTTAAAAGTAATGAAATGAAAGTAGAAATACATCTACTCTTCCATATAGTGACTCATCGGAGTGTAATGGACTACTGAAAAATGGAAAGAAAAAAACAAAAGTAGGGCGGCCCGAGTGATGAATTTATCAGAAATATGTCACTTTTACATGAAAATCTAGATTTAAAAATGATGGTCAAAAATATATAAAAACTTAAAAGCATCCATTGATGCATTTTTCACAATATCTATAACGTGCATTTATTTTTCCTGCACATTTTAAAATGATCGCGAGAATTCAAACGTTGCTTGTTTTGTGGGAATGTGTGCGCCACCTGTTGGAAAAGCTTGGAAATGCAAGATGCGTGGCACAATGGACATACTGTTTGCAGAAGAAAAATGCATTACACAGTGGAGCAGGAATTATTGAGGAAATAACCAAGTTAAATATTTGGCTGATTTAAATAAATGAATAAATAAATATTTATAATTGTATAAATAAATATTTCTAACAAAAAGTGCCAACACTGATTAGTGCGTATCAAGGGTAACTCATACAGTGTTTAAAACCAGAAGAAATTTGGTGGTTGTTCCAGGATTTGGGGTGTTAGGTTTTTGGCTAATTTCTTTGGATTGAGTTCATTAGACAATGTTGAAAAATCATAATTGGTGCGAAGTTTTGATGATTAAAAAAAAAAAAGTTCACAATAAAATAAATAAAAAAATAGCTGATTACAAAAATAAATAAATGAATAAAATAATTATAATTGACAAAAGTACCAACATGAAATAGTGTGTAAACCAAAGGTAATTTGTATAGTGCTTAAAAACACAGGTAATGGTTTTGAGAAAATTGGCGTTTGTCCCAAGATTTGGGGGGTTTTGATTTTGGCAAATTTCTTTGGATGCAGTTCAAAATAAAATAAAATACTGTTAATTATTAAAAAGTATTTCAAATTAAAAGGCCTCTGAGGTGCCACAGGCCAAAATCCTGAGTTTACGTGTTGGGATGGACAATGTATTTAAATAAAGATTTTTTATTTTAGATTAATCGATTAATCAAGCATCTTATACATCTCAAAAAGCGAAATATGTGCCTCTTTGTAATCTGATTAAGCCATATGTTACATGCTGCAAGCATTAGCCCGTAAAATGTGACTGTGAGTGGTTAGGGGGGACAAATTGCCAAAATATATTTGATGCAGGAAACATCTGAAGAGCTATGACAGGAAACAGTTCTGGTTGCACACTCATCCATCCACTAATTATCAGACAAATGAGCCATAATGTACCACCCACGGCAATAAATACCAGTGTTGAATTTATTTTAAAAAGAGAGCATTGAATTTATGACTATATATCCACATCAGTGGGGAATGCCGAGTACTTTGATACAACAAAACACACACACTTAGGAATAAAAGCTCTAATTATGCTCTTAATGTTTTAAAATGTTGTATTTTGGAATACTAAAAACTCTTAATAGTAATAGTAACTATACCATAACCTACGCCAAGCCTAGAGTGACTACAACCAAGTTATGTCCTTGTAGAGTCTCTTGTCTCCATGGTCAAGGTGGAGGAGTTTATGGAAACATACGTCAGAGATAGTAAATACGAGGGTTCCTATAAAGCTGACTGCTCTCTGACCATTGACAGAAACAGAAACACCCGTCACAGAGGCCACTTGCTTACTGTACAAAGGTACAAATCTCATTCATCATGAAAAAAGATCCTATCTCTCATTCCCTCTGCTGTGCGTCAGAACTGGAGCTCACTGCAGTGAAGCATGACCATTACACTGTTATCGGCTATTTTGTGTAATACTTGCCGATTTGTGTTTTTATATGTCACCCATAGATGCGCGGAGCAGTTACAGGATGTTTGATGCTGGTGTATGTTGTTGCTCTTCTGGCCAAGCAGGCAGAGGGACACATCGCCTTCTTCAGCCCTAAAGAGATGAGAGAGCTCAGGGTGAGAGATCCACGGGCTGTCGGCATCCTAATGACTACTCATTTAACCTCCGGGTAAACCAAAAAGAAGTTATTGGGTTTCTCTCTTCATCTTCAACAGGAGAAGGAGGGAAGGAAGGATGCTGATCCAAGAGCAGAGGGGGTTTTGATTGATGAGATGTCTCCAGAAGAAGACGGAAGAGAGTCAGCGGTGAGGAATCCCTGCATGTTTTTAAAGTATTTCATAATGTATTTGAGTTTCTGATTGGATTGTTTCCATCTGAAGGGCCAGCCTGTGGAAATAGGACTAAAGCTTACTGCTAAAAAGGGCCACATTGGATCTGCTTTCGGTAAGATGCTGCAGAGCATCATAGAAGAGCCAGAGACCGGTAAGGAGCATTTTAATCCATACAGTAAAATCTCTTTGTGTATTTCATACATACATACAGACCTGTCTAATGTTAGTGCTCTGTTTTACAGTGAAATAAATCCAGCATTTTGTATCTCCATTCAATGACATTTGCAGACTGATGATTCAACATTTGTTGCAAGCACAAATGTTTTGTCTATGAATGTGAAAAAGAAAAACACAATAAAATTAACTTGCATGCCAATTCAGTTTCTTATCATATATAGGTATTGCAACTCTGGTTTAATCTGAATTTAAACTGTTAAACGACATGCTAACTTAATCATTACTCCAGTCTTCAGATTCACGCGATCCTTCAGAAATCATTCTCATAATATGCTCCTAGTTGTGCTGCTACTACTTATTTTAGTGGAGACCATGATAGAGGTTTTTCAGGATTCTTTGCAGTATTTGCTGAAAGTTCTTATTTAAAATAGACATTTTTGTAACAATGTGAAAGCCTTCACTTTCCATCAATTTAATGCATACTTGCTGGTAAAATAATTTCTTTAAGAAATCATACAAGAAATCAACCAGACTGTTAAACAATACTGTATAGAATGACATAACGTATGTGTGAGTTTAATGTTCTGTTTAGTGTAGAAATCAGCATGATGGTTGGAAATCATAGGGTGCATGCTTAGATTTGGACATGTTTTTTTAATTATGGAAACTTTAGCCTGTATTTCATTGCAGAACTATTTATAGCAAATAGAGAACAGCTGTCAAAACCTTTAGATGTGCCTAGAGTGGAAAAGCAGAAATTCACATTGCATTTTAGGAGCGCTTCTTTAACAGCCTTCAGTCTTTTCTTATTGATAAGCTTGAGAAAAGAACTGCCACATGGCAGAAGGTAACATCAAAAACATCACAACTGAAAGAATAACTCCCTGTAAAAGCTGTTGAGTTTCCAAAAAGAGCCATAATGACAAATTTAGTTTTTATATGTTCTTCATTCAAAGACGTTTTGAACAGCATTTTCTGCTCTAGAAAAAAAGGTTACAACAATCAGTAACTGCCGTGTCTGACTCTGATGGAGCTTATGAAACAATTAGTATTGGGCAAAAGTTAATTTCAGTCAGCTCTTCACATAAAGCTTCAAAAGTCAAAACACACAGGTTTGGGATGAGGGTGAATAAATCATGAATTGAACTGCATGTCTCTTTAAGGTTTAGCAGTCAGTCTCTCACAAAACTTATATTCCTTCACTCCAAGAGCAGGATCTCTGGCAGAAGGTGCTGGTAAGACCAGGGAACAGTCACTGTCGAAGTATTTTCCTGTTATTCCTTCTGCTTCTTCGGACACTGCACAGTATATTGGACTGAAAGCCCCTTCTTCAGCGGTCTGTGGTGGAAAAAAAATACATAAACACACACTAAAGGTGTCATATGATGCGATTTCAAGTTTTCCTTTCTCTTTGGAGTGTTACCAGCTGTTCGTGAATAGATAAGATCCCTAAAGCTGCAAAGACTAAAGTCTCAAACCCAAAGAGATATTCTTTATAAAAGTTAAGAGTCAACCACGCCTACCTAAAATGGTTCATTCTAACACGCCCCCACATGTCTACGTCACGATGTGGGAAGATTTGCATAACACCTCCCAAATGTTCACGCGAAGAAAGAAGGCGTAACTTTTATTCTCGCTGTAGTATTTTTTTTGCTGCCGCAGCCATGTCGTGAAGGCGCTGTGTGTTTCGTTGTGAAAGCGAAACTACTTTGTTTGGCCTTCCAAAAGAGGACACGACTAGAAATCAGTGGTTAAGTTGTATTTACAATACTGTTCCAGAACACTTCAACCCAAATATTCAGATGTGTGCAGCGCATTTTATGGAGGACGTTTCCTGATCCTGGGAGAGTAGACTACAATGCCGGCTGTTTTGACTCACAGAATGCAAGTACGTTTTTTATATTTAAAGAATGTGCCACTGATGATTCAAACGCGAGTTTTGGGCAGTTTGGAGTAGTGCTTGTTGTTTGTCATTTCTCCGAACACAAATGTAGATATGGTTTTATGTTTACGCGGCACGATGCAACGCAACGCGTAAAAAGACAGTATAAGTCATTATAATACGTAGTTATGTCCCCACTGGATGCAACAAATGCCTCGTTTATAATGGGTTTTAATGTTTTTGTCTCGTTGCTCCGGCCGGACAGGGCATCATCACAATGTGGCAAGGGGCGTAACATTTCCGGCACACACTTGAGGAATTCGGCCAATCACAACGCACTGGATAGCTGGCCAATCAGAGCACACCTCGCTTTTCAGACCGATGAGCTTTGTAAAAATCGACGCGTTTCAGAAAGGCGGGGCATAGAGGAGAAACAATAATGTACAGTATGTGGAAAATAATGTATTTTTTGAACCTTAAACCGCATAAACACATTTCATTACACCAAATACACAAAATAATGTTCTTTTTAGCAACATCATATGACCCCTTTAAGTCAATGGATAATGAACAATTTCTGTTGAATATTTGCTATAGGCCTATATTGTATGAAACAAGTGTCGTGTCATAAATCTGATTGGCTAATGTTAAACTGTTGTTAGTCCTTCCTGTTTAAATGACTGGTCCTGATATCAGTCAGATTACCAGATTAGACATTTAATTTCACTCCTTCCAGGAAACCAGGCCGTTTCTGCTTCTCAGGGAAGCAACACTATAGTAACTCTTGTTCTCTTTCTTGTTCACTTTATCTTCCTTTCTTTTGTAACAATCAATGTTAATGTGCCTTTAAGGCAACTAAACATCCATGTTATGCATAGAGATGTGGAGTAGCTCCCTTGCACAACTGCACTTCAGGGGTGTTTGTGGCATTTTTCCAGAACTGCAGTAAAAATTAATAGCACTAACACGTTTTTTCCACCTACTCTGAAAACTAGTGCACTAGTGCAGCCAGAGGAGTTGGCAGGAAGCAGTTATTGATGTGAAAAGTTGTTTAGAACAAGATTAATAGTCAACTCACTTTGAAGAAGAAATAGCCGACCAAGTTGAAGAGGAATCGGATAATAAAGTTGTAATTTCTCATTACGTCTGTCATAACTACACCTGGATGCAGAGAGTTTGCCGTCACACCTGAAACACACACAAAACCATGGTTTGAATGGAAAAATTAAGCACTTTCTTCTCTTTCCAGCATGAAATGTTTCTTGCCTTTTCAACATCATATCCAGTCAGAAAATTCCTTTTTTGTTTGTGAAGAAATTCAAAACAGTCAGTGGAGTCAGACGTGCTCAGAATTTGCTCTTTTCACAGCTCAAAATACTTACAATTGCTTAGACACTAAAAGTGGTACTTGAGTCCAACTCAGTGAAACTCATATACTGTACATACTGCTTATACAGTGTAGTGCACAGCATAAATGAGTACACCCCCTCTGATTAGATATAAAAGATGTATTTTCTTAATGATCACTAATATAATTCATAGAAAGATGGCAAAATTGAAATGTATTAAACATATTCTTAATAAAAACAGAGATATGCATGCCATTAATATCTGTAAAATAAGAAACCTAGCCAATTTTTGTTTAAATGAAGGATTGCAGAATTAGATTGAATTCAACCAAGTGTAATATTCTAGAACTTAATATGTCCTCCATAACTCTAAGTACACTGCTCTGACTCTTCTTGGCACTGAGTATACAAGTTCATGACAAATTTTCACATCTGTGCTGTTTAACTCCTGGAGGACGACCTCCTTAAATGCTCTGGTCTTTAATGGGGAGTTTTGCTCAGCTCGTCTCTACAGAATCTCTCACAGCAGCTCAAGAGTGTTAAGATTGAGTGAAATACATGTCCACTGAAGGATTTTCAACACAGGAGAATGAATATCGTCATTGTCATGTTAAAAAAAGCCCAACAATGCAGGGAATGAGAAGAGGGTAGCATCTTCAGTTTCAGGTTTTTGTATTACATCACACAGTGGTGTGTGAATTCATGCCAGCATTGATAAAGTACAACTCCCTCACACCTTCAGCACTCATACATCCCTATAGAAGAGCTTTACTACCACTGAATGCCACTGTGGGAACCAGGCACTTCTCTCGGTGCTGTTAGATCCAAAATGATTGAATTGGTCTCTTGAGACCAGAGTATGGATTCCCAGAAGTCTATATTTTGTAAATATGGGCCTTGGAAAAAGCTAAATGAGTTTATTGTGCTTTGGCTACAGTCGGTAGTTCTGGTGTGGATAAACAACCATGCATGTCACTTCTGCAGGCTGCATCTTACTCTGTGAGATAAAGTGTCACTCTTTTCACAGCTTTTGCCGGCTCTGAGACACGTTCACGGTGTTTCTCCTGCTCCTTTTCTAGCAAAAACTCACTCATCAGTAAATGAAAGCTTAAAGTGAAGACCTGATTATTTCAGGGGCCTTTTCACAAGTCCATTGTTTTTGAATTTCTGTGTTACTTTGGCTATATTTTCACACTTAAAACAATAATTTGGTATTCCTCTTTTACCATTGTCCTCTTTTATGCTAAGAAATAAATCTCCTGACAGTTCTCTCTCAAGTGGTTTCATTGTTGTCAGCATTAAGTCTGAGTATGATTCAGTGGGCCATATAACACTTAATTATCAAGAAATGACTTACCTTTAACAGTTTTGGTTCAACATACTTACCTGTTGATCAATACTTGCCTTAACCTTACACCAGAATTCTTTTTTTTTTAGATTTATTTAGTAACTTTCAGGAGGGTGTACTCATTTTTGCAACACAACATTTTATCACTTTGAAAAGAAAATGGTATTTTCTTGAATAATTTTAACATTCTTCTTTGGTAACTGATCAAGCAGACTTGCTGGAATATTATATCTCTAAAAAAAACATGTCTTCTAAGCAAAGTGTAATTGCTGAATTTGTTAAGTTTCAGAAGGGGTGTACTCATTTATGCTGTGCACTGTATATGTGCATATGTATGTATGTGCGAGTGCTATGACAAACTCTTGTGCACTCCGCTGCACACTGAATAAGCAATACTGAACAATACTGAATCATGAAGCAATGTCAAATCTAATAATCAAAATCTAATTGTGACTTTCTGCTCATTTTCTCATGGCAGCAGCAGTCGGTCAGTATAATGAGTTGTGGTTTGGACGTGTACCTGTGCCCTGAAGCCTGCGTGCCAACTCGTTGGTCCAGATGACGTTGTGCAGCTTGGTGTGGTTATATGCAGCATCCATCACATGCTTTAGATTGTGACCACGGAAATGGTCAAAGTTTACCTCACCTTTCCAGTGATTCATAGACGAAACATTTACGATACGAGCTGGAGCTGATTCCTTCAAAAGGTCTGTATGACAATAAAAAAAATGTGTTACTCCCAGAATCCAGATGTGTCTTTTCAAATGAATATTTGATCCAAAAATGAAAAATTGCAAAAAACGTACTCACCCTCAGGCCATCCAAGAAGTAGATTAGTTTGTTTCTTCATCAGAACAGATTTGGAGAAATTTAGCATTGCATCACTTGCTCACCAATGGATCCTCTGCAGTGAATGGGTGCCGTCAGAATGAGAGTCCAAACAGCTGATAAAAACATTACAATAATCCACAAACAATCAACACAACTGCAGTCGATCAATTAACATCTTATGAAGTGAAAAGCTGTGTGTTTGTAATAAATAAACCCATCATTAAGGAATTTAACATTCAACTATTGCTTACGGCTAAAATATGAGTAAAATATGAGTCTTCTATCCATAATATTGCTTTCGCCAGTGAAAAAGTCCGGACCCCCAGGGATTGAGTTTGACACCCCTGGTTTAAAGTTAAATGCCTTAATGATGAATTTGTTTCTTACAAAATCACAGCTTTTCACTTCACAAGATCAACTGATGTACTGGAGTCGTGTGGATTACTTGTGGATTGTTGTGATGTTTTTATTGTGTTTTTAAAGTTTGGACTATCGTTCTGACGGCACCCATTCACTGCAGAGGATCCAGTGGTGATCAAGTGATGCTAAATTTCTCCAAATCTGTTCTGATGAAGCAACATCTTGGATGGCCAGAGGGTGAGTAAATTTTCAGCAAATTTTCATTTTGGGTGAATTATTTCTTTAAGATCTAAAAAAAAGGCATTAACAATTGGAATGTTGTCTGACCTAAAAGCAAACTGGTGAGCAGAAACGGCCCAACGTGGTTGGTTGCAAAAGTGATTTCCAACCCATCTGCAGTGATCTTACTCGGTAGGCCTGTAGGTATTAACAAACCTTGGTTTGTATGGACATACAAATTAATATATGAGAGATGGAGAGAGTGAGAGAGAGAGTGAGAGATGGGCATTCCACCTGAGGCCCCTGCGTTATTGACCAGGATATGCAATTCCTTCTCATCCTCCAAGATCCGTGCTGCAAACTTCCGCACAGAGCCGAGCGACGAGGTGTCAAGCAGACGCAGATGTACGTTCTGGTTCCCAGTACTTTCTCTGATTTCTTGTAGTGCTGCAGTCCCACGAGCCTCACTCCGGCACGCCAGGATCACCCGCACCCCACGACGAGCAAAGTCCAGGGCAATGAATTTCCCAATACCTAAAATATAACAACAAAAGGTGAATGACACATCAGTATTCGGGAATAAGAAATTGAGTAATTATGACTTGACAGAATTATGTATGACTTTATGCGACACAATAGCACATGTCAAAACTGTTTAAGATATAAAAATATACTGTATCTTATCTTTTATCATCATCATATCAAACTTAAATTAAGCTCCAACCACAGTCCACAGGAAAGAAAAATCACAATAACAGAACGAGATGTCAATATAACCTTCATTGAATTTCTCCAAGACTGTATATTATTTGAGCAATTCTATACAGAATCATTTTTATAATAATTGTATGCTCATTTATATTGGTTTCCTAATATTTATATGTTCTCTATTCTGTTTCTCTGTTTTAACTTTGAAACATTCTCCCAGGAATCATCTGAGCCAAATTACCTAAACATTCAACCACTGAGTTTTTGAACACCATGACCTAAATCAGTCACTCCAAACGCAACAAATGTGAAGCATCTGGAACAGATTGGCACGAGCCTGCAGCAAGTTTAACAAGGTTTAGCAAGACTGAGCTGTTCCACGACTCTGCGTAAATATGAAAACAAACGAGTTTAGGTTTTATATACACGAAACATGTCTTGAACTTGTATTTGTAGTTTCATGGATACTCTGTGTCATTCGTCTTCTGCGTAAAAGGGTCTTCCACAATTCTACTCAGGTAGGCGTTTGCGTGCTCACCACCATACATTAAAATATCATTCATTTTAATGGTAAAAGTTTGATTCTCACCCGTGTTAGCTCCAGTCACAATCGCAGTTTTCCCTTTTAACTTAACGGGACAAGCGCGCGGGTTCCACGATGCTTTCCGCTGCGCGCGTACAATTATGGCCAGGATCGCCGCTGAAACTATCCATAACGGATGGGAATATATGTCACTCCACTGCCAGTTCATTATCAAGTCTGCGTGCCTCTGTTAAAATCCTCGGTTTATTTAAAAGAGACGATATGCCGAGCATAATCCGAGTGACCCTGGCACGACTGCGCCCTATGCGTGCGCACAGGGCAAAGACTAAACGCATAACTCAAGACACTCAAGACTATCTATTCCCGTCATTCACTGATAGTAAACACTGACTTCTCTGGGGTGTGGGGTTATATGAATGTATCTAAGTTTCGATGACATTTTATTTTCCTCTTGCTTACCTCTGTATAATGCATAATAATGTAGTGTTACAGTTTTTTAAAAATGCTTACAGTTTTTTAAACTATGCCTCCATTTCTCAAAACTCTACACACAAAACCAGAAAACACACACACAACATGCAGAACATCACACATAATTTGCAAAAGCAAACTCTTCTTTTAAAACTATTTGGCAGAATGTGATACATTTGTGTAAAGAAGCAATCTTCAGTCTTTCAACATACAGTTTGTCTGGAAAATCATGAGGTCAAGTTGCCTGAGGTGATTTGTTGTACCTCAGATTTCCTTTTCTGCTGTGTTCAGCATTCGTCTGAGCAAACAGCATAGCAATTCCTAGGAAAAAAGGATAAAACTGGCTTATATGGGACATCCCTTGGAATATTATATGGGCACATATTACTCCATGGATATGCTGCAGGTCAAGGATGACTTACCCTCAAGTTGTTCCAAACTATATGAAGATGAAGTGTGTAATTTCTGTGCCAGTAGTAAAAGGAAATCCAAACATGTTTATTTTTTTTCCAAACACGTTTTCCAGTAGTTTCACAATTAGGGGAAGAAATACTTTTCTCCACACCTGAAGGGGTTAAAAACGTCAAATACTAAAACTTATTTACATTTTTAGCTTTATTTCAACAAAAATGTTTTTAGTTAATGATACTAACCCTGTTTCTGTGTCATTACAGCCCCTAAATGCAAAATAAAACCAGTAGTCTACTTAATGTCCATGTATTTATTTATTTGATAAGTATGAAATAAGCTTTGTACCCGGGGTTATTTTCATGTAATGGCTGCACATCATCTATGAATTATGTAGTTTCTTTGACAAACTGATTTTGAATCCCAGGTGTTTGGCCTTGGCTCTGTTGCACAGGTGGTCACAGGAAATGTTTTTTTTGGAGATTATTTCAGCATAAATGTAGGCTTTGGGCTGGGGGTGCGGTGCACGTTGGTGGAAAAGTGTCAGGTGAGACCCTCTTGACCCCAAACAGAGGTCACTTCAATTGCCATTTTCCATAATGACAAATAATCATGCAGTATGTTTTACTCTATCACAGGAGTTCATATGAATGCAGCCGTTTCGTTCACAATGAGCGTGTTTGGACGTTTGCACTGGAAGATGCTGCCACTATGTTTTCGCCCCGTTTCTGGGTTCATTCCTTGCTGCTGGGACCATTTTTTAAACTTTATTATGGTGAGCAAATACTCATCATCTTCAGGAGTTCTTTTTGTTCTTAGTGTTGGAGTAGGTCAAATAGTTTCTTCGCTCACATACTGTTCTTTATAGATGCTATACATCATTACTGTGGGGGCAATTTCACTGTCGGGCCCCAAAACAACAGCTGGGATCTTTTCTACATATCCAGCACCTTACATCTCAATCTACACCGGATTATTCGACCAGGTATTTCAAAGATGAATATAAATGCTCCTTAATGAACTAAAATATGAACCAAAAACCTGATAGTGTGTAACAATAGTTCACCCAAAAATGAAAATTTGTAGACAGCAAAAATGCTTCTGTATGCTTTTTATATTTATATAATTTAATATAGTTAACAATCTATATCACACAAAGAGTACCGTTTTTCAGCAGATATCAGCATGGACATTTAATAATAATTTTATACAAGTTCAGTAAAGCAATAAGTATGACAAATTTTCACATCTGTGCTGTTTAACTCCTGGAGGACGACCTCCTTAAATGCTCTGGTCTTTAATGGGGAGTTTTGCTCAGCTCGTCTCTACAGAATCTCTCACAGCAGCTCAAGAGTGTTAAGATTGAGTGAAATACATGTCCACTGAAGGATTTTCAACACAGGAGAATGAATATCGTCATTGTCATGTTAAAAAAAGCCCAACAATGCAGGGAATGAGAAGAGGGTAGCATCTTCAGTTTCAGGTTTTTGTATTACATCACACAGTGGTGTGTGAATTCATGCCAGCATTGATAGAGTACAACTCCCTCACACCTTCAGCACTCATACATCCCTATAGAAGAGCTTTACTACCACTGAATGCCACTGTGGGAACCAGGCACTTCTCTCGGTGCTGTTAGATCCAAAATGATTGAATTGGTCTCTTGAGACCAGAGTATGGATTCCCAGAAGTCTATATTTTGTAAATATGGGCCTTGGAAAAAGCTAAATGAGTTTATTGTGCTTTGGCTACAGTCGGTAGTTCTGGTGTGGATAAACAACCATGCATGTCACTTCTGCAGGCTGCATCTTACTCTGTGAGATAAAGTGTCACTCTTTTCACAGCTTTTGCCGGCTCTGAGACACGTTCACGGTGTTTCTCCTGCTCCTTTTCTAGCAAAAACTCACTCATCAGTAAATGAAAGCTTAAAGTGAAGACCTGATTATTTCAGGGGCCTTTTCACAAGTCCATTGTTTTTGAATTTCTGTGTTACTTTGGCTATATTTTCACACTTAAAACAATAATTTGGTATTCCTCTTTTACCATTGTCCTCTTTTATGCTAAGAAATAAATCTCCTGACAGTTCTCTCTCAAGTGGTTTCATTGTTGTCAGCATTAAGTCTGAGTATGATTCAGTGGGCCATATAACACTTAATTATCAAGAAATGACTTACCTTTAGCAGTTTTGGTTCAACATACTTACCTGTTGATCAATACTTGCCTTAACCTTACACCAGAATTCTTTTTTTTTTCAATTTTTTTAGAAACTTTCAGGAGGGTGTACTCATTTTTGCAACACAACATTTTATCACTTTGAAAAGAAAATGGTATTTTCTTGAATAATTTTAACATTCTTCTTTGGTAACTGATCAAGCAGACTTGCTGGAATATTATATCTCTAAAAAAAACATGTCTTCTAAGCAAAGTGTAATTGCTGAATTTGTTAAGTTTCAGAAGGGGTGTACTCATTTATGCTGTGCACTGTATATGTGCATATGTATGTATGTGCGAGTGCTATGACAAACTCTTGTGCACTCCGCTGCACACTGAATAAGCAATACTGAACAATACTGAATCATGAAGCAATGTCAAATCTAATAATCAAAATCTAATTGTGACTTTCTGCTCATTTTCTCATGGCAGCAGCAGTCGGTCAGTATAATGAGTTGTGGTTTGGACGTGTACCTGTGCCCTGAAGCCTGCGTGCCAACTCGTTGGTCCAGATGACGTTGTGCAGCTTGGTGTGGTTATATGCAGCATCCATCACATGCTTTAGATTGTGACCACGGAAATGGTCAAAGTTTACCTCACCTTTCCAGTGATTCATAGACGAAACATTTACGATACGAGCTGGAGCTGATTCCTTCAAAAGGTCTGTATGACAATAAAAAAAATGTGTTACTCCCAGAATCCAGATGTGTCTTTTCAAATGAATATTTGATCCAAAAATGAAAAATTGCAAAAAACGTACTCACCCTCAGGCCATCCAAGAAGTAGATTAGTTTGTTTCTTCATCAGAACAGATTTGGAGAAATTTAGCATTGCATCACTTGCTCACCAATGGATCCTCTGCAGTGAATGGGTGCCGTCAGAATGAGAGTCCAAACAGCTGATAAAAACATTACAATAATCCACAAACAATCAACACAACTGCAGTCGATCAATTAACATCTTATGAAGTGAAAAGCTGTGTGTTTGTAATAAATAAACCCATCATTAAGGAATTTAACATTCAACTATTGCTTACGGCTAAAATATGAGTAAAATATGAGTCTTCTATCCATAATATTGCTTTCGCCAGTGAAAAAGTCCGGACCCCCAGGGATTGAGTTTGACACCCCTGGTTTAAAGTTAAATGCCTTAATGATGAATTTGTTTCTTACAAAATCACAGCTTTTCACTTCACAAGATCAACTGATGTACTGGAGTCGTGTGGATTACTTGTGGATTGTTGTGATGTTTTTATTGTGTTTTTAAAGTTTGGACTATCGTTCTGACGGCACCCATTCACTGCAGAGGATCCAGTGGTGATCAAGTGATGCTAAATTTCTCCAAATCTGTTCTGATGAAGCAACATCTTGGATGGCCAGAGGGTGAGTAAATTTTCAGCAAATTTTCATTTTGGGTGAATTATTTCTTTAAGATCTAAAAAAAAGGCATTAACAATTGGAATGTTGTCTGACCTAAAAGCAAACTGGTGAGCAGAAACGGCCCAACGTGGTTGGTTGCAAAAGTGATTTCCAACCCATCTGCAGTGATCTTACTCGGTAGGCCTGTAGGTATTAACAAACCTTGGTTTGTATGGACATACAAATTAATATATGAGAGATGGAGAGAGTGAGAGAGAGAGTGAGAGATGGGCATTCCACCTGAGGCCCCTGCGTTATTGACCAGGATATGCAATTCCTTCTCATCCTCCAAGATCCGTGCTGCAAACTTCCGCACAGAGCCGAGCGACGAGGTGTCAAGCAGACGCAGATGTACGTTCTGGTTCCCAGTACTTTCTCTGATTTCTTGTAGTGCTGCAGTCCCACGAGCCTCACTCCGGCACGCCAGGATCACCCGCACCCCACGACGAGCAAAGTCCAGGGCAATGAATTTCCCAATACCTAAAATATAACAACAAAAGGTGAATGACACATCAGTATTCGGGAATAAGAAATTGAGTAATTATGACTTGACAGAATTATGTATGACTTTATGCGACACAATAGCACATGTCAAAACTGTTTAAGATATAAAAATATACTGTATCTTATCTTTTATCATCATCATATCAAACTTAAATTAAGCTCCAACCACAGTCCACAGGAAAGAAAAATCACAATAACAGAACGAGATGTCAATATAACCTTCATTGAATTTCTCCAAGACTGTATATTATTTGAGCAATTCTATACAGAATCATTTTTATAATAATTGTATGCTCATTTATATTGGTTTCCTAATATTTATATGTTCTCTATTCTGTTTCTCTGTTTTAACTTTGAAACATTCTCCCAGGAATCATCTGAGCCAAATTACCTAAACATTCAACCACTGAGTTTTTGAACACCATGACCTAAATCAGTCACTCCAAACGCAACAAATGTGAAGCATCTGGAACAGATTGGCACGAGCCTGCAGCAAGTTTAACAAGGTTTAGCAAGACTGAGCTGTTCCACGACTCTGCGTAAATATGAAAACAAACGAGTTTAGGTTTTATATACACGAAACATGTCTTGAACTTGTATTTGTAGTTTCATGGATACTCTGTGTCATTCGTCTTCTGCGTAAAAGGGTCTTCCACAATTCTACTCAGGTAGGCGTTTGCGTGCTCACCACCATACATTAAAATATCATTCATTTTAATGGTAAAAGTTTGATTCTCACCCGTGTTAGCTCCAGTCACAATCGCAGTTTTCCCTTTTAACTTAACGGGACAAGCGCGCGGGTTCCACGATGCTTTCCGCTGCGCGCGTACAATTATGGCCAGGATCGCCGCTGAAACTATCCATAACGGATGGGAATATATGTCACTCCACTGCCAGTTCATTATCAAGTCTGCGTGCCTCTGTTAAAATCCTCGGTTTATTTAAAAGAGACGATATGCCGAGCATAATCCGAGTGACCCTGGCACGACTGCGCCCTATGCGTGCGCACAGGGCAAAGACTAAACGCATAACTCAAGACACTCAAGACTATCTATTCCCGTCATTCACTGATAGTAAACACTGACTTCTCTGGGGTGTGGGGTTATATGAATGTATCTAAGTTTCGATGACATTTTATTTTCCTCTTGCTTACCTCTGTATAATGCATAATAATGTAGTGTTACAGTTTTTTAAAAATGCTTACAGTTTTTTAAACTATGCCTCCATTTCTCAAAACTCTACACACAAAACCAGAAAACACACACACAACATGCAGAACATCACACATAATTTGCAAAAGCAAACTCTTCTTTTAAAACTATTTGGCAGAATGTGATACATTTGTGTAAAGAAGCAATCTTCAGTCTTTCAACATACAGTTTGTCTGGAAAATCATGAGGTCAAGTTGCCTGAGGTGATTTGTTGTACCTCAGATTTCCTTTTCTGCTGTGTTCAGCATTCGTCTGAGCAAACAGCATAGCAATTCCTAGGAAAAAAGGATAAAACTGGCTTATATGGGACATCCCTTGGAATATTATATGGGCACATATTACTCCATGGATATGCTGCAGGTCAAGGATGACTTACCCTCAAGTTGTTCCAAACTATATGAAGATGAAGTGTGTAATTTCTGTGCCAGTAGTAAAAGGAAATCCAAACATGTTTATTTTTTTTCCAAACACGTTTTCCAGTAGTTTCACAATTAGGGGAAGAAATACTTTTCTCCACACCTGAAGGGGTTAAAAACGTCAAATACTAAAACTTATTTACATTTTTAGCTTTATTTCAACAAAAATGTTTTTAGTTAATGATACTAACCCTGTTTCTGTGTCATTACAGCCCCTAAATGCAAAATAAAACCAGTAGTCTACTTAATGTCCATGTATTTATTTATTTGATAAGTATGAAATAAGCTTTGTACCCGGGGTTATTTTCATGTAATGGCTGCACATCATCTATGAATTATGTAGTTTCTTTGACAAACTGATTTTGAATCCCAGGTGTTTGGCCTTGGCTCTGTTGCATAGGTGGTCACAGGAAATGTTTTTTTTGGAGATTATTTCAGCATAAATGTAGGCTTTGGGCTGGGGGTGCGGTGCACGTTGGTGGAAAAGTGTCAGGTGAGACCCTCTTGACCCCAAACAGAGGTCACTTCAATTGCCATTTTCCATAATGACAAATAATCATGCAGTATGTTTTACTCTATCACAGGAGTTCATATGAATGCAGCCGTTTCGTTCACAATGAGCGTGTTTGGACGTTTGCACTGGAAGATGCTGCCACTATGTTTTCGCCCTGTTTCTGGGTTCATTCCTTGCTGCTGGGACCATTTTTTAAACTTTATTATGGTGAGCAAATACTCATCATCTTCAGGAGTTCTTTTTGTTCTTAGTGTTGGAGTAGGTCAAATAGTTTCTTCGCTCACATACTGTTCTTTAGGGTGCATAATCTGGCAGGGGTGCAGAATTCGGCACAACACCGGGAGACCATGCAACCTATTGTGATGCTGTCTTATCATTATTTATATTAAACATTGCCCCCTCACCCAAACCCCGAGTAATACCGAGAGTGAGTCTATCTACAAACCCCTTGTATGTCTTGTCATCTTTCACCTCCTCCATTCCATAATAACACAAAAAGCATCTAATCATGTGAGGTGAAGTGCCTCAGTTGTCTGCAGGGATGCAAACTTGCCACTTTTTGCTGATTATCGCCATTTTGAATCTGCGTGATCCACCAACAAGCTTTCCAAGTTTGTAATGAGAATTGTTTATAAATCTGTTGTCAACAGGGATTTTCCATGTTTTGTTTTCTCTTCATTTTCTAATTATTACTATTATAATTTTTTTTATCATCATTATCATTATTCTATGGTCATATTGAATGGGTTCCATAAAAACAACAGTGTGAATGTGGCCTGACAGCTGAAGTAGAGAGAGATACTTTTTAAATCTTCTTGCTAAATGGAATGAAAATCCACATTTTAAAGCTGACATTTAAAAACAAATCTTCCTCTCTACAGTGGTTGCATCTTTGTCACCTTTTTTATACCCCTGATTAATTTGCATCCTTGTGTCTGTAATTAATTCAACTCTAATCATTTAACGTTTGCTGATTATCGCCATTTTGAATCTGCGTGATCCACCAACAAGCTTTCCAAGTTTGTAATGAGAATTGTTTATAAATCTGTTGTCAACAGGGATTTTCCATGTTTTTTTTTCTCTTCATTTTCTAATTATTACTATTATTATTTTTTTTATCATCATTATCATTATTCTATGGTCATATTGAATGGGTTCCATAAAAACAACAGTGTGAATGTGGCCTGACAGCTGAAGTAGAGAGAGATACTTTTTAAATCTTCATGCTAAATGGAATGAAAATCCACATTTTAAAGCTGACATTTAAAAACAAATCTTCCTCTCTACAGTGGTTGCATCTTTGTCACCTTTTTTATACCCCTGATTAATTTGCATCCTTGTGTCTGTAATTAATTCAACTCTAATCATTTAACATACACTACAGTCAAAAGTTAATTCTTTATTATTGCTAATTTGTTAAATAATGTGAAGAGCAGGCAAAAGCACGCACATCGATCTCAACTGGGTGCTCGACCAAAAAACAAGTAGAAATATTTTAGACGCAAAGTCGGCAACACCAAAGCTCCAAAAGACAGTCTGATGAAGAGCCTGCGTGCTCGAAACGTCACATATGCTATGCGACAGTCTTTTTAAAAAATAAATTTTTTGATACTTTTGGAGCTTTGGTGTTGCCGACTTTGCGTCTAAAATATTTCTAATTTGTTAAATAATAAATTTATCAACTTTATGAAACTATGATGCCAAATGGAAGTATGAAAATTATGTAGTGAGTAGTGACCAAAATATGTTTAATAAATTCAGAAATATCTTTAATGCGACCTATAATTGAATGTATGTTGGACACTTTTCTTTAATATCCACTCCAGCATCCACTTAAAATGAGTAAATTAAAATAAATGTAGGAATTCAATTCATATTCTATTTGCTATATTTGTCTGCATTTTATGTCTGGCAGGCTTAGATCAAATGTTTTTTGAGCTCCTGAGAAACCACAACAAGTGTGTCTGAATTATTGACTGGTACTATATTATGAATATATTATTCATCACAATGTTTATCTTCCGATTCCCCTCCCCCCCATGATTTCAGGGACAGTGCTTTTAATTAGGATGGTTTCAGTTTGCTTTTCTTTAGATTTCAGACATTTTGTGCATACTAATCTTTGGGAATCTAATCTTTTTTTTTTTAGTGTTTTGTGCCATGAGTATTGCATTTTTTTAGAATGACATGTCAGGTTAAAAGTTGACACCCATCTTGACACCCATGTTTTTGTAAATGTCCCCTTAAGAAATACATCCAAGCAGGGCATTGTGAACCTGAAACCAGCTTAATAATTCAGAGCTTCAATAAAACAGATTGGTCAACTAATCAATTTCGACAATGTGTTGTTTTGCATATACTCTGCAAAACTGTTAATATTTGCATTATTATGTCTTTATCAAACATCACCTTGCATGAACTAATATTTCCTTCAGGAAATGCAAATCTAATTCTCTTTGGCAGTCATAAATTCACAAGGTTATTTTTTAGGATGTACTAAGAATCTAACCAGGTTTGTTCATTTGAGTTGTATAGAAATTTGTGTTCTATAGATGTGTGGAAATAACATTTAAAAGTGTCTGTTTTGGACTGTAGACTCTCTTCAGCACTGCTCAAGCCAGAAGTAAGCCATCATTGAAGGATCTCTGCCCAGAGGACAAGCGTCGGATTGCAAATCTCATCCAGGAGCTGGCCAGGTAAAGTCCTCTCATTATAGTGATCTGAAACTTTTTAGACTGAATGAATGATTACAGTAGCCTTCAAGCCAATGTGATTTTCTGTGCATAGTGATACAGCTGTGTATCTGATCTGTTTTGTTTGTGTTTCTTTTCAGAGTTAGTGAAGAAAAAGAGGAATCTGTACAGAAACTCAGGGATGAACAGGAGACGTTTGAGAATAAAATCCAACATCTAGAGCAACAAAACCAACTCATCATACAAGAGAGAGAAAGTATCCTTTTAAGACAAGCAAGGAAGCAGTAAGAATGTTCTGGTTGAGTTTAAATGATGCCATCAATTGCACCAAATTAACATTGATTACATTTTAATGGAAAACCCTTGGGAAGTCAGTGGGGAATCCCCCCCATTTTTTTTTCTGTTAATGGCAGTAATTATTTATATATTAAACATATATTAGCTGTTATCCTTCCTGGAGATGTTAATTCAGAATCATACATAACATATTCATTATTATGTGAACTTTTTAAATTATTTGATTAATGTATTACTGTTCAAAAGTTTGGTATCTCTAAAATTTTTTCGAAAGAAGCCTCTTATGCTCACCAAGGCTGCATTTATTTGATTAAAAATACAGTAAAAACAGTAATATTGTGAAACGTTATTAGAATTTAAAATAGCCATTTTCTATTTTAATATTTTTTTAAAATGTAATTTATTGATTTGATAGCAAAGCTGATTTTTCAGCAGCCGTTACTCCAATCACATGATCCTTCAGAAATCATACTTACATAATTATACTGATTTGTTGCTTGAGAAACATTTCATATTATTTTCAATGTTGAAAACATTTGTGCTGCTTAACATTTTTGTGAAAACCGTGATACATTTTTTCAGGATGTTTTGATCAATAGAAAATTCAAAAGAACAGCATTTATTTGAAATAGAAATCTGTTATAAATGGCTTTGCTGTCACTTTTGATCAATTTAATCCATCCTCGCTGGATAAAAGTATTAATTCCTTTAATAAAAAATTACTGATGCCAAATATTTGAATGGTAGTGCAATTCACAATACGTTGACTCAGACTGTTGTGTATATTAGACTGACAGGGGGCAGTGTTGTCTAAGCAGTGGATCTGTGTTCAGCCTAGTCGTGACTGTTATAGGAGCAATATAACCACAGGATGTAATTGAGATGCTTTTCGAATTACACTTGCACTTGAAGGGGTGAGGATTCACTTTCTTTGGCGTTATGTGTCATATTGGATGACACTAATATTGAATCTTTTCATTGAAGATGAAATAGGCTTTATTTGCAGCAAGATTGTGTGAAATGTGTGAAACAGACAAACGACAAAGAGAATTCACACTGTGTTACGTTTAATATTTACTCTTTTAGATGCTAGTTTTTGAGCTCAGGGATCAGACCCGTCCTTGGTTTGGGTTGAACTGCTTTTAATTTTCATTTGAAATTGAAAGAGCTGGCACCAATCACATGACCACTGGGATCGGCGTGGGTTACTTCTCGTGCCAACCTGTCATCCGGCTGGCACATCACAAACTTCGCACAGTTCGGATGCTCCCTTTTTTCCTTGAGGTTCTGCCAGCTTTGGTTATCTTGCTCTGGTCAAAAGACATGGCGAACCATCAGTTTCACCCAACACTGTGAAATATGAAGAGCAATCGCAGACTGCTAAATTGCAGATTTGGCAGGCGAGCTCAGAAATTAGGCGGGCTCAACTCAATTAAATGCACTTTGGCTCCACGGCCTGGCATTTCCACTAAAATTCAAAACTCCATTAAAAAGAGATTGTAGTGCAAGACAAACTCTATGAAAGCCCCCTGCGGAGACAGGATGGTCTCTAAAGGTATCAGACAGATGCTGGCCCATGGAGCTGTTCTTAAAGGTTAAGGGGGACGGAAAAAGACAAACTGAGTTATGAGGGTCTGTGTAGAATAATTGCACGCATCGTCTCTATCTCATCTGCCAGGATTGCGATTATCAAGAGGAAATATCTCCGTAGGAGGGGGAAAAAATTATAAGTTACATTCTGTGCGTAGGAAGAATTTGAAGCTCATGTACGGAATGAAATTAGAATTTTCTCAAGCGTGTCTTTGGCATTCTACACCACGTCTCTGAGCGGTAGATTCTATTACAGAGAAACTCACAATCTTTGTTCTTCACAAGGAATTTACATCAAGACGCATGGAAGACACAAAGGAGAAGTTGAATGCATTCATCAATATCATTAATCTTATTGAAGTTTGCGTGGTCACTTTTCCGAATGTTGCGGATGGATCAGAGGAGCACAAGTCCTTTTGTAATAGTTTGTTTGACTAGTTCCGAGTCCATGCATCCCAGTGGGATGAGCTTAGGTGGGGTTTAAACTCTCACAGAAATTCCACTTAATCACAAACTCACTGCTCGCATATTGTTTATGACCAATTAGTTTTGTAGACACACTAATAATTGGAAGTAATAAACCACATGCTCGCAGCAAATGAAGTCTCACGATATATAAATAATCAAATCATCAGTGGCTTGGTGAGTCATTTTCGCTGTTATTTAAATCGAAGCGTGCGGTTGTGTGAACTGTCCTATTGATTTACATCTCAACCTACACATGCAGACCATCCGGCCGAGAAGCCCCGTAAAATATTCTCCTCGGCACAATTTTGTTGTACCTCGAGGTGGATTTCATTATTTTATTTCTGCGCCAGCTGACAGGGGAGTGAATCATGTTGACAGCGGCTGTCTGAAATATCGAATGCAAACTCTGATTTTGTGTATTTTTGGACAGGGGGTGGAGACACACCATGCCTGCAGCTTTCTTTTCTCCTGATGTAGGCCCTCGGAATGAGCTCTGATTGGCCGGCAGCCAACAGAGGTGCCTGCGCTGCGGGAAGCGGGAGAGAATCTTATCAGTCCCGCTCCAGTCGCTCCAGATTACCAGGCGCTGAGCGTTCCCGCACACCCTTCTGTTAATGTATTAATATGTGTGTTTACGCCCAACCTGTCTATCATAGTATCAGAAGCCTCTCGTCAGCTGCGAGGTAGATGCCTGTGTTCGATGCGCTTTATCTACGAGACGGGCTCTCTGTTCTCATTATAAATGAGAGGCCTATTTATGGTAAGAGTTCTTGTTGAACAGTTACTCATTTCATACCTGCTATTACACAGTGGTTTGACATCCAGCTGTCATGAAGGACAGTGTTTGTTGGCACTTCAGGATTTGATATCCCCTTGAATCATTTCATTTTAGACAGTCAATGATCTTGAATGAGCTACAATAATAAACCCTGTGAATTTAGGTTAGATATTTCCACCTACATCCTTAACAAAGACTTAAGCCTGTGTTATACTTTCCATGTGCGCAATTCTGCTAATGTCCGCTATGGTATGCGTGACGTAAAAATCGTCATCAGAGAGTGTGCGCAGAGGCTCCGCATGGACATCCGCGTGCCTCCCATTTTTTGTTGGTGCTTTTGTAGCCTACGCGCGGTCAGTAGGCTACAAAAGCACCAACTGCGCAGGCTGTGTGAATAAGACCGTTGCTACTTGAACCTGTACAATCCGTCGATAAAACAAGATAAATGCCAGCCAGATGTGCAATAACTGTGGGCAATTGTTTGTTCACATGTTTGTTTACTGTTCAAGCCGATCTACTGCGCATGTATGGAGCACGTCCGCCGAGCAGACCATCAGCGTATGCTTTCGGTAGTATAAATACAAGTAGTCCGCACCCGCGCTGTCCGGATTGCTCATGCGGAAACTATAACACCGGCTTTAAAAGTCAGTTTGAGTCGTTGAACTCTCTTTTTGTGATCTGACCATCTAGAACAATGACCTGACCTTATGTGGAGTTACACTACCTTTTAAAAGTTTGAGGTTGTAAGATTTTTTTAAAGGGGTCATATGATGCGATTTAAATTTTTCCTTTCTCATTGGAGTGTTACAAGCTCTTGGTGCATAAAGAAGATCTGTGAAGTTGCAAAGACTAAAGTCTCAAATTCAAAGAGAAATTCTTTATAAACGTTAAGAGTCAAGAGTCACAGGCCTGCAGCAACAGTACAGAGAGTGTCAGGAGCTGCTGGGACTCTATCAGCAGTACCTCTCCCAACAGCAAGAGAAACTCAACAAGTCTATTACCCTGCTCAATTAGTCCTGCTCCCACAGCAAGGTGAGTACTAAAAGAGAATGTGCCTGTGTGTGGGAGAGCGCGATAGAGAGAGGCCAGAAATGGCTTAAACTGAACATTGGAGTGTTACAAGCTCTTGGTGCATAAAGAAGATCTGTGAAGTTGCAAAGACTAAAGTCTCAAATTCAAAGAGATATTCTTTATAAACGTTAAGAGTCAAGAGTCACAGGCCTGCAGCAGCAGTACAGAGAGTGTCAGGAGCTGCTGGGACTCTATCAGCAGTACCTCTCCCAACAGCAAGAGAAACTCAACAAGTCTATTACCCTGCTCAATTAGTCCTGCTCCCACAGCAAGGTGAGTACTAAAAGAGAATGTGCCTGTGTGTGGGAGAGCGCGATAGAGAGAGGCCAGAAATGGCTTAAACTGAACATGTGCGGAAACTCCATAAACAACATGCAAGTACGTTTTCTTTTATCATTTGCCACTGATGGTTCAAACGTGAGTTTTGGGCAGTGTGGAGTAGCACTTGTTGTTTGTCATTTCGCTGATCACAAATGCAGACAGGGTTTTATGTTTACGCGGCACGGCGCGATGCAACACAGCTCGTAAAAAGACAGTATAAGTCATTATATTCAGTAATTATGTCCCCACTGGATGCAACAAATGCCTCGTTTGTAATGGGTTTTAATGTTTTTGTGTCGTCGCTCTGGCTGGGACACGCCATCACAGTATGTTAAGGGGCGTAACATGACTGTCTCACGCTTGAGGTATTCGGCCAATCACAACGCACTGGATAGCTGGCCAATCACAGCACACCTCGCTTTTTCAGACAGATGAGCTTTGTAAAAATCGATGCGTTTCAAAAAGGCGGGGCAATAATGTACAGTATGTGGAAAATAATGTTTTTTTTTTTTTTTTTACTTTAAACCGCATAAACACATTTCATTACACCAAATACACAAAATAATGTTATTTTTGGCAGCATCATATGACCCCTTTAAGTAATATAGTATTTGTATTTATAGTATTTATAACAATCTCTTCACAGTTGCCAAGCAATATGGTGCATTAATGGAACCAAAGGACGAAAACTAATCATTTACTTTCATCATATACTCATCCATGTTATTTCAGACCTACATGACTTTTTCTTTGCAGAACACCTTTTTTTGTCCATACAAAGAAAGTCAATGGGGTCCAGTGTTGTCTTGAAATATCCTCTTTTGCGTTCTACAGAAGAAAGTCATATGGGTCATAGAGGCTCTTCAGTTTGTTTTGTTGCATGCTATTGCTTGCATCTTGGTAATATTTGCTATTGCTTGCATCTTGGTAATATTTTGCTAACTTATATACTACTTTCAGTATTCAAACATACATGTGAATTTGTTATATAAAAAATTTGATTGACTGATATCAGTGATTCAGTGCTGTCAGTTTGAATGAGAAGCAAATCTGTAATTAAAGGGGTCCTATTATGCTCTTTTACAAAGTCTTGATTTTGTTTTGGGGGTGTACTAGAACATGATTTCATGCTTGGTGGTTAGAAAAATGCATTATTTTTCACATAATTTACATAATTAAAATGCCTTTCTCCCCATCCTGGCACAAACGGCTCGATTAGTTCCTGCTTTGATGATGGTCTGCCTTCCGAAAAACAAAATGTGTTGTGATTGGTTAGCTGTCCCAGTGCGTTGTGATTGGCGAACAGCTTAAACGTTCTTTCAACAAAAACTTTTTGACGAATCCGGCACTCCTGGCACAAACGGCTCGATTAGTTCCTGCTTTGATGATGGTCTGCCTTCCGAAAAACAAAATGTGTTGTGATTGGTTAGCTGTCCCAGTGCGTTGTGATTGGCGAACAGCTTAAACGTTCTTTCAACAAAAACTTTTTTTCAAAAACACTGTTCTCCTTCGTATTGTGGAAGCTGTCCTCAGTAAAATGCACAGCACACAATAGCAAATTGGGGTTATAATGCTCAGGAACAGAGTTAAAAAGTAAATTGCAACCACTGTTTCCTGACATCATCCGCTTTCGGAAGCCCAAACAAAGACGTTTGGGCACGGAGGTGAAAAAAAAACAGCGTTTCAGGAGGTCGCGCACCAGACGAGAAGCGCAGCGTCACATCGCATCGCGTCGCGTCGTGTCGCGTCACGTCACGTCTTTAAAATTCTAATTCTTTATTTTCTATGAGTGTAGGCACACCGCCCAAACAAAGACGTTTGGGCACGGAGGTGAAAAAAAACAGCATTTCAGGAGGTCGCGCACCAGACGAGAAGCGCAGCGTCACATCGCATTGCATCGCGTCGCGTCGTGTCGCGTCACGTCACGTCTTTAAAATTCTAATTCTTTATTTTCTATGAGTGTAGGCACACTGGCGGCGCCGTTTGGTGTCTGTCCGCGGCGCCCAGCTACGTCGTGTTATACTTGTAAGAATTGTTCTAGACATGCCAAAAATTTGAAGCTACAGCACAGCAGCTCTTCTTCTTCATCTACTTCTTCTAAATTTAGCAACTTTTCAGACTACCCTAGCAACTTTTTCTTCCAAAAGCATCCTTTAAAGGGGTCATATGATGCGATTTCAAGCTTTCCTTTCTCTTTGGAGTGTTACAAGCTGTTCGTGAATAGATATGATCCCTAAAGTTGCAAAGACTAAAGTCTCAAACCCAACGAGAATTTCTTTATAACAGTTAAGACTTGTCCACGCCCTCCTAAAACGCCTCGTTTAAACACGCCCCCATGTCTACGTCACTGTGTGGGAAGATTTGCATAACGCCGCCCAAATGTTCACGCAAAGAAAGAAGGGGTAACTTACATTCTCACTGTAGTATTGTTGCCGCCGCCGCCATGTCGTGGAGACACTGTGTTTCGTTGTGAAAGCGAAACTGGTTTGTTTGGTTTTCCCAAAAGAGGACACAACTAGAAATCAGTGGTTAAGTTGTATTTACAACACTGTTCCAGAACAGTTCAAACCAAATATTCAGATGTGAGCAACGCATTTTACGGAGGACGAGGACTTTTTCCTGGGAGAGTAGCCTACAATGCCGGTGTTCTGACAAATAATGCTGACTTGCAGCCTGTAAGTACGTTTTCATATTTAAAGGATTTGCCACTGACGATTCAAACGTCTGTAGGTACATTTTCAGACGTTTAATGAGGCTCAGAGGTTGCATGAGTGCAGTGATTCAGACCTACATGACCTTTTCTTTGCAGAACACCTTTTTTTGTCCATACAAAGAAAGTCAATGGGGTCCAGTGTTGTCTTGAAATATCCTCTTTTGCGTTCTACAGAAGAAAGTCATATGGGTGCAGTTAAATTCATGTGGAGATTAATGCTTTAAATATAAAATTTTGAGTACAGAAATATGATTCAAATAACTGAAATTATACGTTAAAAATGTAACTAAATCCACCAGCAGGTGGCGACAAGTCACTGATTTTATCACTGAATCATTCATTCAATTGATTCGTTCAAACAGCTGAATCATTCAGGAATGAAGCAAGTGACTGTCTTTATGAACTGATGGAAATCTGTCATAGCGACGGAACTTTAATCCCTGTAAGGGGTGTAACATTTCTGTTTGGCCAATCACAACGCACTAGATAGCTGGCCAATCAGAGCACACCTCGCTTTTCAGAACGATGAGCTTTGTAAAAATCGAAGCGTTTCAGAAAGGCGGGGCATAGAGGAGAAACAATAATGTACAGTATGTGGAAAATAATGTGTTTTTTTAACCTTAAACCGCATAAACACATTTCATTACACCAAAAACACAAAATAATGTTATTTTTTAGCAACCTCATATGACCCCTTTAAATTATTTATTGGACATTAGTGTCCTGGTTCTTTCTCAAACCAATAAGCCACTGTAATTATACAGCTTCACATTGACACCCCCCTTTTACCATGGTAAGACTCACTAGTGCATGGCCTCTTGTGGGTTAAGTTTGTATTTGTGAAGTTCCATTTTCTTTTTCCATTGTGCAGTATTCTGGAGATTTTAATAATAGCCTTTGTTTTAAGGTAAGATTTACCACGCTTATCTTATGTGTATTGGATTGAGAGGCTGTTGAGCAGAGGCTGGATTTCGTGCATATTGACATTGTAATAACGGAGATATGAGGACTATAAATAATCTCTGTAACGTTCTAACTTTCAGTCAGTTTGATCTGTGTTGTCCCTCTGGAGTTCCTGGGCCTTGAGGTATTATGATGATCGCTGAGCGGGTTGTGCTCTACAGCCAGGCTGATTATTAAGAAGAAAGACCAAAAAAGTCGCTTTCCATTATTGCTTTCCACGTTGGAAAATTAGATCTACCGAATGGATTTCTGCAGAGCGTGTGAGAGTAAGCGAGCGTACGTCACGCTTTCATTAGTCGGCACAGTCGCCGTGGCTGTGGTTATGCTCCAGATCAGTTGAGTTCTGCCCAATGCTGCATGTGTGCCAGCTCTTTCTGTCTCATAGCCTGGCATCCTGCCCACCCCTGCCCAGCCAGACCCAGATGGAGGAGTGTGTGAAGCCCTCCCCCGAAGAAACATTTCTGTCTTTTCTCAGTGGTGCTGCTGTTTCTTCTCACTTTCTTCTCTGTCTGTGCACTTTTTCAGAAAGTCTCAAACATGACTCCAGGTATTGACGGCTGGGATTCAGCCAGAGAGACTGATATGTCAGGAGCCAGAGAATAAGTCCAACCGGTCTCCTCCTCTTTTTGATATAAGGACACTGGGCAACCGAGCTCTCTGTGGGAGACATTTTTAATGCCAGTTCTTTGTAGCTTTTCCTGTTATGCCCTATGTTATTCAATTAAAATTTTTATTTTAGGATGTTTAGATTGTACCCTTCCAGTTGTATTTTGACTTTTTTTTTTTTTTCACCGAAATTTTGATAGCATTTGTTTTTTTTGCATTTTCTGAAAAAAGTTCAGATGATAAATTAATTGCATAAAAACAAATTAGCATGGCAATCTGTAAAAAAACAAACAAACCAAAAACAAAACAAAAAACACAATCTTAGAAAAACCACCAGCTTTTTCTAAATGATAACCTGCATTTTTAAGTACTACATGAATTACTGTGGTTTTATACAATATTCAGGGTTGGTACTTTTTGTCAATTATTTTATTTCAATTTGAACCACTTTTTTTCTCACCAAAACTGCATGATACCAATTCAGATTTTTTTCAGATCTGAAAAAAGTTATAAATGAATTGCGTCCAAACAAATTTGCCTAGCCATCTGAATAACACCCCAAATCTTAGGGAAACCGCCAGCTTTCTCAGAACATGCGGTTTTAAATACTGTAAAAATTACCTTTTTATATATTTTTTTCATTTATTTATTTTTTTAGTCACTCAGTTTGTTTAATCACTCAGTTGACTAACAGACCACTTGGAAATCTTTCAACTACCGATATAGACCAAGAAAGCATCTTGAAATATGAATGATTTTGCCTCTTAAGCTTGATAACATCAACTTTGGACATTTCAAAAAAACATTTGAGTATTTAACTTGACATACAGCTTGCTTTTACTGCTACTGGTTACCTTTGGGGCACTACTCTGAGGGAGGTTCTTTCATTTTTGTACCTTCTGTATAAAGTCTCCTGCCTACTCAGCATTAGGTTGGCAACACTACAGTGTGGGAAATGGATTACCATGTCTGGCTTGGGAGGGGAGAGAGTTTTAGTCTAAGTGGGGAAAGCGGCAGAGTTATTCAGTGCATGTTGACCCTTGACACCACGGCACAGGCCTGCAGCAGCAGTACCGAGAGTGTCAGGAGCTGCTGGGACTCTATCAGCAGTACCTCTCCCAACAGCAAGAGAAACTCAACAAGTCTATCACCCTGCTCAATCAGTCCTGCTCCCACAGCAAGGTGAGTACTAAAAGAGAATGTGCCTGTGTGTGGGAGAGCACGATAGAGAGAGGCCAGAAATGGCTTAAACTGAACATGTGCGGAAACTCCATAAACAACAAATGGACAGGTCCATTTTTAAAATCAGAGTCCCTGAAACCAATGTAATGTGTTATAAACCAGAAGAAATATCACAGTCTTTTGAAAAATATTATAAGAAACTATACTCCCAACCAGAAGCAGCTAGCCCCTTAATTATAAAAAGTTTTTTGGAATCTCTAGATTTACCATCGGTAGGAATGAAACAAAACCAATTGGTAACACAGGAAATCACAGAAATAGTTATATCTGTGATACCAAAGGCTGGAAAAGATAATACAGAATGTGGTGCATACAGACCTATTTCAGTGTTAAATATAGATTATAGAATATATGCTTCAATAATAGTTAAAAGATTAGAAAATATCATTCCTGATTTGATTGATACTGACCAAACTGGATTTGTTAAAAGTAGGCAGACACATGATAATGTGAGACGTGCATTATTTTTGTTCGAGAGCATGAGCAAAAATACTTCCAAATCCCTGGCAATTAGCCTGGAGTCGAAAGAAAAAGCTTTCGACTCGGTGCAATGGGAGTTTTTGTATTTAGTATTGCAACGTTTTGGCTTTAATGAAGAGGTTATAAGAAGTATTAAACCGCTATATCATTTACCAACAGCCAAGATTAAAATAAATGGTAATGTTTCTAACCCGATTACACTGGAACGGGGATGTCGTCAGGGATGCCCCTTGAGTCCCACGCTTTTTGCACTATTCATAGAGCCATTAGCTCAGGCAATTAGAAAAGATACAGAAATTCTAGGAATTCCAATGAAAGAAACCAAACACAAAATATGCCTGTATGCGGATGACATTCTTATGACTATTTCCGAGCCAGATTCCAGTTTACCTAAACTCATGTCTTGTCTTGAGCAGTTTGGTTGGTATTCAGGATATAAACTAAATTTACACAAAACCCAAACCCTCTCTTAATTATTCACCACAGGAAATGGAAAACAAACAGTATTAAATACCTGGGGGTTATCATACCAAAGAATTTGGCTAAAATGTATATTTCTAATTATGGATCTATTACGAAGGAAGTGAAAGCAGACTTGGATAATTGGACAACTCTTAACTTTTAGTTTGTATAATCGAATAGAAATTATAAGGATGAATGTTTTACCTCGATTATTGTTTTTCTTTCAATCACTACCTGTAGAGATACCAAAAAAATATATTTAATGACTGGAACCGAATGATCTCAAGATATATATGGAAAAATCAGAAACCCAGGGTAAGACTCAAACCACTACAATTACCAAAGGAAAGGGTAGGACTGTCTCTTCTCTGTTTGGGGGATTATTATAAAGCAGCACAATTAAAATATCTAGTTTGCTGGTATTGACGATTATAGAATTAGAATTCAAACAGCTAGACTTTCCTCTCCCTTCTTTATTAGGGGACAAAACTACTATGATTATGTACACTTAACAAATTAAGCAATTGGACATTAGTTCCTCTTAATACTTGATTCAAAGAATGCAAAACTCTGAAATTGGAAAGACAAGCACGGCTGCTAAGATGGGTGACATATGATAGAGACTTCAAACCTGAAATCTCATCCATCTTATTGATACCTATAATTTAGAGAAACACGATTTCTATAGATATTTACAGCTTAGAATTCACTTTAATAAAAATATTAATAATGAGAAAAATTAATTGAGTCTCATAAACGTTTTTGCTGATGCATATAAAGGTGGTATTCACAAGAAACTGGTGTCAAAAATATATTCATGTATACAGTCCTCTAAGTCTCACTCTACCTTATATGTTAAAGAAAAATGGGAGAAGGAGGCGAATATAATTCTAATGGAAGAAGATTGGTTAAAGGGGTCATATGATGCGATTTTAAGTTTTCCTTTCTCTTTGGAGTGTTACAAGCTGTTTGTGAATAGATAAGATTCCTTAAGTTGCAAAGACTAAAGTCTCAAACCCATAAAGATATAAACACGCCCCCACATGTCTACGTCATGATGTGGGAAGATTTGCATCTTTTATTCTCGCTGTAGTGTTGTTGTCATGGAGACGCTGTGTTTCGTTGTGAAAGCAAAACTACTTTGTTTGGCCTTCCAAAAGAGGACGATATTCACTTCGTCATGCCTAGAGTTGATCCGTGCTGGTCGCTGAGGAAATACATCAACTTCGCGCAGTGGATCGCCGGATCGGCTTTCACCGTGGATGAAGTGGAGTCCAGCCCGTAGTCGTCACATTTGGTTGCCGCAAGCCCGCCGGCCGCTCCTTCGTCGAATCCGCCGGCCGCGCTGTTCTCAAGCCCGCTGGCCGCCGCTCACTCTAGCCCGCTGTGTGTGATGCTGTGTGTTTCGTTGTGAAAGTGAAACTACTTTGTTTGTCCTTTCAAAAGAGGAAACAACTAGAAATCAGTGGTTAAAGGTGGGGTAAGTGATTTCTGGTAGCCTATTTTGACATTTGAAATCACCAAAACAAATACGCCCCTACCCCAAAAGGGTCTTGCCCCTATTTTGATTGCTCCGCCCCACAAATACGTACGCAACCCAGGCAGCGATTAGTTCTGTGAAACAAAGCAAAACCAATGTTACACTGTGTCTACATCGGACGCGAGTGGCGTGGTGCGACAAAATACTTTAGAACTCCTAATCAGTGATGCTGCCTACACCACAGATCTTTCATGCAAATCTTTCATGCCAACCAGTGACCCATCCTTTCTGAACAGAGTAATGATCAGATATTCAACAAATAAAAAGCCTAAATATCTGCCTTCTTTTATTGCTCAAAACTATCATAGATCTCTGGATTATTCATAATAATGGTTCGTTGCTCACAGCAAGTGGTTTGAAGTCCAACAGTAATTGCCTTAAAATGTTTTGAAGGTGAATTTGTTACAGAAGCGCTGTTTTGATGGCTCTAGCGGTGATGCTTTTAACGGGGATGGATTTAGAGAAGCAGCCTCTCAGAGAGGGGTTTTGGCATGCTGACACCTTAGCATCTATAGCTGTTAACCTGTCAGCACACTAAAACCCTCTCAGAGAAGTTCCATCTGTAAATTCATCCCCTTCAAAGCGCTGTCACTAAAAATATTAAAGCTAAAACAAAACAAGAAAACTCACTAACCGACACTAAAAAAAAAATGGTGTGTTGTTTGAGTTTAGACTGTGCACCCTCCATCTTAAGCTTGTATAAGGGAAATGAGCTTGTCCTCTCTGAAACCTTGGCTGTGAGTAATGTATGTTTACATGCTCCATGACCTCCTCTTGAATTAGTCAGCGGCCCATTTCTGTTCCCTTAGAGGTGGACAATTCTCCTTTGTCCTGAATGTTTATCTCTTTGGTGATTGACCTTGGGTTGTTGCGTTCTCTTGGGATGAGCCCACCCCTCTGACTCCCTTGAGTAAAACCTGCCTTTGTGGCCACATTATTAAATGGTCAGAGGTGATGTGTATTAGTGATGCGCGGATGGCGGTTATATCCGCGGGCGCTGCGGATAATCGGGTGGGTTAAGTAATAAAAAAATGCATACTGATTATTTGCGGGTGGATAAGATAAATCATTAATGATGCAAATATTAACTACATTTTCTAAAATATGAACGTGTTTTAAATAGGCTACAGAAATTGAATAAACTGTAAATTAAAATATTAAAGTTATTCAACAATACATTTAGTCAAGAGCAGTGAGGGATTTTCTCTGTCTTTTGTTGTTTGATTAACATTAATGACAGATGGCACAGCTTTATTAGGCTGCTGCTGTCACAAGACCTATTTCACGGATCCAATACTGATACACATGCGTTTCCTTTCGCAACTGTTTACATTAACTTAAGACAAAACCGACAGTGCTTATGAGGATACTCGCGAGGAGTATCGCCTCTGGAGCGCGCGGGTGGCTTAAAAAGACGTGAAAAATACATTTTTGTGACGATGCAACAATGACTGATTAGGCAAGTGACAACTGTCAACTGTACCAAAACACGAGCTAAAGTCTTGTATCGCAGCGTCCAGCAGCTCTAGATTCACCGATGTGAAGAGAAGGTCAAAAACAGAGGACGCGGTACAGCTGAATCACTCACGCTGTTTTTAAATGACTGATTTGATCTCATAGTTTGTGTGGATTTATTTACTAATCTAACCTACACGCTATATTGAATAAATGTTTTGCAGCAATTTCCCTTATTTTAAAGTCGAACGCTGCGGGAATGAGTAATGCGATATATGTGCAATCCTGCATCCAAATTCAGGACCTGATTAAACATAATTCTATTATACAGAGAATTGTGAAATGGATTTCCATGACTTTTCCAAAACGTTGTGGTTTTATTTATTTTTCCAAAAGTTTTCCAGGCCTGGAAATTACTGTTTTAAAATTCCATGACTTTTCCAGGTTTTTCATGACCGTACGAACCCTGAATGTGACGATCAAGTGCGGGTGGGGTGCGGTTATCTAAATCAGAGAAAAATATAAGTGCGGACAGTTGGCGGGTGGATAATTTATTTGAAGCTGCGGATTCGGGTGACGTTTTAGCTCATCCGCGCATCACTAATGTGTATACTTTCTGTACCTCTGCCCTGTCCCACAGATTCTTAGCAGTGAGGGGGTGCCCAGAAGGTCTTGGGGTGGAAGAGGAACTGCTTTAGATGGATCTTACTTGGACCTCCCTTCATCAGGAAGCAGAACTGAGACAGGCGGGTCAGTGGAGTGCACTCATTCTTTCTCAATGGGACCGCTCTGTGCACCCTCCAGCAGCGTCCAGAACTGCGAAATCCATGACAGGCACACCAATCACAATTCTGAAGGTGGATGTATTGATCTCCGCTTCTCCAACAGGGAGCCCTCAGCCTGTGATGCCCTAAGGCTGCATGGCGTCTCTGAACCCAAGTTCTCTCATCAGTGCCACAGAATGGATAATGACAGCATGTGTAGTGCTAATCGAACTGGTCTAGCGCCACCACCTGGTCGGGAGAACTGGGAGGAGAAACAACGATGTCTGCTCCTGCAGAAGAAACAGCTGGAGATGGAGAGGGAGAGAATTCGAGCTTGTTTGGCTCAACAGGAAGAGAAACTTTTGTTCCAGAACCAACAGCTCTGCCAGTCATACCTTCAGTACAGCAAGTAAGAGCCTGGCACAAACCATTTGTTTAAATAATATAAGCATTAGTGAGTTTTTTTTAATGCATGGTTTTAGTTTTAGTTTTGTGTATTTGGTGTAATGAAATGTGTTTGTGGTTTAAGGTTAAAAAAACACATTATTTTCCACATACTGTACATTATTGTTTCTCCTCTATGCCCCGCCTTTCTGAAATGTGTCGATTTTTACAAAAGCTCATCGGTCTGAAAAGCGAGGTGTACTCTGATTGGCCAGCTATCCAGTGCATTGTGATTGGCCGAATAACTCAAGTGTGTGACGGGAATGTTATGCCCCTACCATACTGTGATGCCCTGTCCGGCCGGAGCGACGAGACAAAAACATTAAAACCCATTATAAACGAGGCATTTGTTGCATCCAGTGGGGACATAATTACGGATTATAATAACTTATACTGTCTTTTTACGCGTTGCGTTGCATTGTGCCGCATAAACATAAAACCATGTCTGCATTTGTGATCAGAGAAATAAGAAACAACAAGCGCTACTCTACACTGCCCAAAACTCAAGTTTGAATCATCAGTGACAAATTCTTTAAATATAAAAAAACTTACTTACAGTCTGTGAGTCAGAACAGTCAGCATTGTAGTCTACTCTACCAGGATCAGGAAACAGTCCTCCATAAAATGTGATGCACACATCTGAATATTTGGGTTGAAGTGTTCTGGAACAGTGTTGTAAATACAACTTAACCACTGATTTCTAGTCGTGTCCTCTTATGGAAGGCCAAACAAAGTAGTTTCGCTTTCACAAAGAAACACAGCGTCACACACGGCGGGCTAGAGTGAGCGGAGGCTGAGAACGACGCTGCCTGCAGCTTTGACGAAGGAGCACCCGGGCGGGCTTGTGGCAACTACATGTGACGACCCCGGGCTGGACTCTGCTTCGTTCACGGTGAAAGCCGATTCGACGATCCACAGCGCAAAGTTGATGTATTTCCTCAGCGACCAGCACAGATCAGCTCCAGGCATGACGAAGTGGATATCATCCTCTTTTGGAAGGCCAAACAAAGTAGTTTCGCTTTCACAACGAAACACAGCACCTTCACGATATGGCGGCGAGAATAAAAGTTATGCCTTCTTTCTTTGCGTGAACATTTGGGACGCGTTATGCAAATCTTCCCACATCGTGACGTAGACATGTGGGGGCGTGTTAGAACGAGCCATTTTAGGTAGGCGTGGTTGACTCTTAACTTTTATAAAGAATATCTCTTTGAATTTGAGACTTTAGTCTTTGCAACTTTACAGATCTTCTTTATGCACCAAGAGCTTGTAACACTTCAAAGAGAAAGGAAAAATTTAAATTGCATCATACGACCCCTTTAAAGTAGTAAATAGAAGTTCATGCACCTAGAAAGTCTTTCCAGTTCAGTGTTCTGTAACCACAAGGGATATGTCCAGCAATGTTCGGTAGTAATTGACATTATGCCACACATACTGTTGATGCAGCCTAACTTGAATTGAACCATGTACATTGTTTTAATTTGTCTCTTTTGAAGGCTTCAGCAAGTGACCACAACAGACTTTGAGAAACCCCTAAATGGAGATAGCAGTTTTAATGAGGGTCCACAGTCAGGTTTTGTAATGGATCAGCTGACACACAGGTAAAGCTTGTTTTCAAAATTGCAATGAATGCAGAAAATGGCTGGAGAGATGGCAAACAAAAGAAAGAAAAGAAAAGAAAAATAAATAATAAAAGTAATTTTTTTAATTAAAACTTTTATTTAGCAAGGGTGCATTAAATTGATTAAAACTGACAGTAAATCCATTTATAATGTTACAAAAGATTTCTATTCAAAATAAATGCTGTTCTTTTGAACTTTCTATTCATCACAATATCCTGAATTTAAAAAAAAAATGTATTATCAAAAAAAATAATAAGCAGTCCAACTGATTTCATCATCAAGAAATGTTTCTTGAGCACCAAATCAGCATATTAAAATGATTTCTCAAGAATCATGCAACATTTAAGACTGGAGTAATATCTGTTGAAAATTCCAACACAGGAATAAATTATTTGTTTTTTAAATTTATTAAAATAGAAAAGTTATTTTAAATTGTGGAAATATTTCATAATTTTATTGTATCAAATAAATGTAGCCTTGATGAGCAACCCCAAACTTTTAAACAGTAGTGCAGACCAATATCTTCATTCTCTCTCTCTCTCTCTCTCTCTCTCGCTCTCTCTCTCTCTCTCTCTCTCTCTTTTATTCAGTAGTGAAATAAAAGGAGAGTCACTCACTTTAGAGGGAAATGTCCAACAACCGTTAAGTAACGTAGAGTCACAGCAATACACATCATGTATTGAGCAGCCTGCACCCAAGCTTTCACAAGGTATGTCCACAAGAAATTATGCTGAATATGTTATACCTTTCTGCTTTTTATGTTACCTCCTTAATTGGAAATTTGCATTTCATCCTTTCAAGTATCTCTAATTTTCTCCCTGCAGAGATCTCCATTACCAAGAAGGATATGGCCACCTCTCCTGTGGTTCCACAAAGCATCCGGACATCTGCTCTTCCTCCTCTTGGCCTTCTCAGTACTCCACTGGCTTCCAGGTGAGTTAAGGTGTCCCTCAGGGTGCTGTCTACGGTCCACTCATGTTTTCCAATGCCATGGATGGGTTTCTTCATACAGGCATATAAGTCATCCTAGCCTGTCGAGTTCTTGCCCAGCTGTATTTTTAGATGAGCATAACATTTAATTTTGCCACTTGACAATTCGGTCACTCAACTACCACTTTTTGTAGAGAGGCTGCTGTTGCAATTTAAAGATGGCTGGGGGCGGGTGTGCTTGAGAGAAGCCACTCTCAGGAAACTCTCAAGAAAAGACCCGTACAAGTAAATACAATTGAACAAGTTCAATTCAAGAAGGAGTGAAAAGAGGGAAATGACAGCAATTTTGTCTCAACAGCGCAGTAGGGGCCAAGCCTGTGTATTAATTGTGTTCTTGGAGTCCCTGCCTCTGTAATAGTGCTTCTTAATGCATGCATGTGAAAAAGGAGAAGGGGTGGGAGCAGTGATGGAAGGGGCAATCTGAATAAAACAGGGGAAAAAGGGAGAAGTGAAGGAAGAGGAAAAAAAGAGGAAGCTGGTCTGGGCCGAATGCAGTACAAGGCCTGTTTGATGAGTTAAATGAAGATTTTTGCCGGCCAGTGCTGAGGCTGACAGGAGCCAAGCGGAGTCCCGTTAGCTGGCATAGCAGGGCCCAGCAGCAGGTGTAATTGAACCGAGTCTTCCAGCCCGGGCCGAGAACACGCCTCCCTCAGCTTAATGAGAAAGAGTGAGGCAGTGAATGAATCACTGACCGCTAGCGCGAGACACACTCTGGGATAGGGAAGGAAATTCATTACCGTTTTCTTTTAATGTAGAAAGGTAATTAATGTGACAGCATGTCTTTTTTCCCTCCCCCAACCCCACAGCGAGAGCATAAGCATGTCTCGTTTAATGTGCCATCTCTGAAAAATGCAGATTATTTGTAAGTCATTTGTAAGCCGTATTTCTTCTCTTTTTTTTTCTTGGAGAAAATGTACTGACTTCAGAAGTAATTGCCTTTTTTCCCCCTCTGTTATATGTTATGGTGAATATTTTGCATTAATATGTTCCTTTCTGTCTCAGACGTTTCATTACCAAGCCAGAACTTTTACAGGGGCTGGCAAAATTAGGCTGTTTTGTGTGCAGCTATGAAATTTGTGGGTGGCATACCAAGAGAATGTCAGAACTGACAGGGAATTGAATACTCGCGTATGCATAATATGTACCAGGGAAGTTGAGATGGGCCAAATGTGAACTAAGACCAGGGAAGAGATGTTTCTCTTAATGAACAGTCAAACTGTTGAATTTCAAGTGGCCATTCCGGATTCACGTTTCATTGTGACATCAAGCTGCTTTGAAATCAAAGATACGTGATAAAGGCAATGAAAAGATTTTTAGTTACACATTTTACTGAGTTACACATATTTACTGAGTAAAGTCTCTACTCTCTAAACTAGGTTAAATTGCTCAGATGTAGGAAAATTATAAATAAAGAAAAAAAGTTAATTAAAATAATTGATGAGAATAGAACATCAAATTGACAGTCCAAATATACGTATGATGTTTATATATGACATGCAAGTCATAATTTGTTTTAAAAGGACACATTTGGCTTGGTTGGTAAAGCATCATGAAATCAAAACATCATGGAAACCAAACATGAACTCTAACGAGATGACCATGTTTACGCCTACCAGCACTACGGAAAGTTGATGTATGGAAGGTAAACATTTTATTGTTGCCCACCATCTGGAAGGTACTTTTGCATTATTCAAAACCAAACCTGATTTGAGGAAATCACTGAAGTTTGTCATTTTACAGTTTTATTTATTTATTTTTTATTTATTTAAGAAGCCAGAGGTTGGATGCCGGCAGGCTGTCTCCTGAACAACCTCAGGTCTGGCCCGAGGTCTGATGCCGCAGGGACATGCTCTCGAGGAACAAGCCAATACCCACAAGCTCACAATAAATCAATAGATAAGCGCTTTATTACTATGATTTTGCTTAAAGGGATAGTTCACCCAAAAATTAAAGTTTGTCATCAATTACTCACCCTCATGTTGTTCCAAACCCGTAAGACCTCCGTTCATCTTCGGAACACAAATTAAGATATTTTTGATGAATTCTAAGAGCTCTCTGACCCTCCCATAGACAGCAAGGATCCTTACACGATCAAGGCTCAGAAACATAGCAAGGACATCGGTAAAATAATCCATGTGACATCAGGGGTTCAACCGTAATTTTACAAAGCTACGAGAATACTTTTTGTGTGCAAAAGAAAAAAAAACTTTATTCAACAATTCGTCTCCTCCGCGTCACCCTAGTGCCATTTTGGAGAGTATTCACTGAATTTAAATTGCGTATGCTTTTTTGTGTCAGCTGCACCACGCGGATACGTTGTTTTCGTTCAAATCAAAGTGTAAACGACGTAAACAGCATATCCGCGTCGTTTTTTTTTTCTTTTGCGCACAAAAAGTATTCTCATAGCATCGTAAAATTACGGTTGAACCCCTGATGTCACATGGATTATTTTACTGATCTCCTTGCAACGTTTTTGGACCTTGATCGTGTAAGGACCCTTGCTGTCTATGGGAGGGTCAGAGAGCTCTCCGATTCCATCAAAAATATCTTAATTTGTGTTCCGAAGATGAACGGAGCTCTTACAGGTTTGGAACGACATGAGGGTGAGTAGATAATGATGACAGAATTAAAATTTTTGGGTGAACTATCCCTTTAAAGGAAAAAAGATGCCCTGGGGAACAAAGCTCAGGTTAATGAAAATGATAATGGATCATTATCTTCTGTCTGCTAGAGATCGTAACATGTCACTCAATCTGAGATGGGTAGTTTTCTTCGATTGGCAGTACAGTCATGACCAAAAGTTTTGGCAACCATCACGCTGGAAAATGCACGGATCATCACCAAATTGCTCATGGATCGTTGGAAGAAGTTGCTCTTGCAGGACGTTTTGATACAGTTCTTTATTCATGACAGTGTTTTTGGGTAGAATTATGAGAGAGCACACTCCCTTGGTTGAAAAGCAACCCTTCACTGTTGGCCCAACACAGGACTCATGGTAGCCTTCACCTTTTCTTCTCCGAACAATCGATTTTCCAGATATCCCAAACAGTCGGAAAGGAGCTTCATCAGAGAAAATACTTCCTGTACTTCCTGCAAAATTTCAGTCTGTCTCCTGAAGACTTCTTCACTGCAGTCGAACCTCTCTCCTTGAAGTTCTTGATGATCCGGTAAATGCTTCTTTCAGGTGCAATATTCTTTTTAGCAATTTCCTTGCATGTTGAGGCCAATATGATGCAAAGCGATGATGGCTGCACGTGTTTCTTTGGAGGTAACCATTGCTAACAAGGAAGGGAAGGGAAGAGAAGGGAAGGGAAGGGAAGAAGCGCTTCTTCCCTCCTTTTATAGCAATCAGTCTGCTCTTACAATCTAATTATTATGATAGTGATTTTACCTGACTAGTACTCATTCACACTTTCACATGTGCTGCTGATATGATTAGTCAATTAATGTTAGCTGGTCATTTTGTCAGAAAATGTGTGAAATTAGTTTTTTTTTGTTTGTAAAAAGTTAATTATTTGGCCAATTAAGCTTTTAGCAATTATTTAAAATGCATCTGATCACTCTACATAATAATCTAGAAACAATGTGAATGAACACCACAACAGCTTAAGCAGCAAACTTTGCAAAACACAAAATTTGTCACTGCCAAAACTTTTGGCCATGACTGTATCCTTGGGGTGTGTGAACTCAAGCGCCATTTGTGGAGTTGAATGATTGAGGAGAGGTGTGTGTTATTACGTTTCTTAGCAACTTTTGAATTGAGATCCCAATTCGTCAGTCACTGACGTAACGTCTCCGTTCCCTCCTTCAGGGAACGAGGGTTACACAAGTAACCTAGACGTTTTTACATGGTGGGTTATAAAACTTACATTGAGTTCATAGAGACTCTGTGGTGGGCTCTTTTGACTCTGTTCAGCATCCTTCTAGAACACCTTAGAAACCAGACAGCAATGCCTTAGCAACTAACAATGTGCTAAAAACATTTAGAAAATGTATATGAATATAATTAATTAATGTAAATTAATTATTTTTAATAATAACATTTTTAAAAAGATTATATATATATATATATATATATATATATATATATATATATATATATATATATATATATATATATATATATATATATATAAATCTATATATTTTAATTATATTATATAAAAAAGCCTTACCATTGTGATGGTGTTTTTTATGGGAAGCTCCTCACATTTCCTTTCGAAATATAAAAATCTTGTTCAAGTTGGAATTATGCAGTCAGACTGATAAAACTCCACAACCTCTGCAAGAGTCATCAAAACAATACACTTATCAAACCACGTCCTTCTTACAAATTACTTCCACCTTTTTAAATTAACCTGTGCAGAATTGTGCCATCTTTTGTAAACTGCTCTTCACTTTACAAGGGGAACTTTTTTTTCTTTTTAATTGTATATCTTATTAAAATTTTCAGGGCTGGTTTGATGGAGGCGAAGCATCTATATATTTTAATTATATTATATAAAAAAGCCTTACCATTGTGATGGTGTTTTGCATGGGAAGCTCCTCACATTTCCTTTCGAAATATAAAAATCTTGTTCAAGTTGGAATTATGCAGTCAGACTGATAAAACTCCACAACCTCTGCAAGAGTCATCAAAACAATACACTTATCAAACCACGTCCTCCTTACAAATTACTTCCACCTTTTTAAATTAACCTGTGCAGAATTGTGCCATCTTTTGTAAACTGCTCTTCACTTTACAAGGGGAACTTTTTTTTCTTTTTAATTGTATATCTTATTAAAATTTTCAGGGCTGGTTTGATGGAGGCGAAGTGAGAAATGTCAGTGCTCCTGTTCATGGCTAGTGCCTGTCTTCAGCTTACTATTGATTTGGAAGAAAATTGACATACAGTTTTGTCTGTATTTGCCGTTTTAGGATTTTTATATTACTGTTTGGGCTA